CGTAACATAAACAGACACAGACAACACATGACATACAAAAACACAAAACATGCAACAATGACAAGTATGCACAACATTTAAAGGGAAACATTACAATGATACAAGAGAAAAGAAATAATACAATAAGAATAAACGACAAAAATATTCTTGACGTAAGCGCGTTCAACCAGGCAAATATAATTTTCAGTTTCTTACATATAAGTATAGATTTTGAGCTTCTTTAACCCGTAGAATACAGACTCTGTCACCGAAGAGTTTTAAAGTCTACAGATAAAGTTCTTATTTTAAAAATCCTTTAAAATTTATGTAAGTTTCTGTTACCGTAGTAAACACATAATATACTTCATTGATCCTAATTATACTCGGAACATGAACAGATCCAAATGGAAAGTTCAGGAGGAGATCTTTACTCAAAAGAGGTCCATACTGGCGAAAACGATGTAATGGAAAAAACAATAACTAAATAATAACAAAACTAACAGCCATTTGATTTGTAATTTTATAGTATGGAATTAAAGTGGTGTTATTATTACTATAATTTATTGAAGACATAACATAAGGCACGGTATATATTTGCAATGATGAAATTATCCGGATGCTGCGACTCTATGGCGGAAACACTTCTTCGAAAAGATTAGTTCAATATAAGTTTCCCTAAAAATTTATTTACGATTTACGAAACCCTACATTTATTGAGGTATAAATTTACACCTATAGTATAGATATTAAGAAATAAATTTAAAATAAAATCAGTGGTGCTACCTCTTAAGGTCTGGGCCTCAGATTGAAAAAACAGATGAATCTGTTTCATGATCATTTTTGAACCTTATAGTCAAGTAGGTGATCAGCCTCCTGTGCCTGACACGCTGTCGACTGTTTGGTTCTAAGATACGTCGGTTTCCTCACGATGTTTTCCTTCACCGTTCGAGCGAATGTTAAATGCGCACATAGACAGAAAGTCCATGGTAAAGCCGGGGATCTAACCTACGACCTCAAGGACTAGCCACTAGCCCAACACTGCTCTAAATTTAAAGTTAGTAAATTTAATTTGTTCACTCAAGAAAAACTGTTTTCATGGACGTACAATAACTTGCCTTCACAATCGTACAAAACTATGAAAGAATATTATTGGGAACAAACGATTTAGTATTTGGATTTGTAATTTATATTTACAGTTTGCGTGGGAGACGTTGCGTTTTGACAAATATACGTACGGTAAACCATTTCGAAACGAATGCTTAGAACAAATGTGTAATTGTGTAAGTCTAGGAAACGCAACTTCGCAATTCGTGTAAGCTAATGACTCGGTTACGAATGTTCAGTGGTTTAAATGTGGCCTTTATTGGTTGAAATTTATGTTCGCGTATCATGTTTCGATTCGTTATTGCTTTACTTGTCTGCTAACTAAACGTGCTTATAATGTTACTTAAATTTAGGAATTACTATTTTTATACCAAAATTTAAGTCCAATGTTTATAATAATGTAATGGTAGGCAAACGGGCAGGAGGCTCACCTGTTGTTAAGCGATACGGTCGCCCATGGACACCTTGCCAGATGGCTCGCAAGTGCGTTTCCGGCCTTTAATTCAACACCAGAATTATCCCTATACCACACAAAATTTTAGGTTCACAAACATTTTATTATTATATGATTATATATTAATGGTTGCCTGGAATTGACCACTTATAAGGCCGTCATCCTAGTCGGAAAAAAACACTTATTTTTATTTACACGAAAAATTCACAACATAAATGTATCTCATAGAATTTATTAAATCATATCGCAAACGCGATTTCACAAAACAAAGCTTTCCGCACCTATTCCACATTTCAGTCTGACAGTATATAATTGTCACAACGTCGGTTTCGGAGTAGGGACATAACCGGTGTTCTGGTTTCAGAATAATTTATAATATTTCAGTCCGAGATAACGTCACCTTAATGGTTCTTCTTAGGCATGCGTGGATAAGAATCTTGGTTCAAACTTCAAAGATTACGTATGAATAATGATAAGTTTTAAAATTGTCTGCAAATTGTTTGTTTCGCATGTATCGTCGGTCGTGATTTGCTTGGCAACTGTGGACTTTTTATTTAACAAAATAAGCTACCAAAACATACAACACCACAACTAATCAGTAATAGATGAAAATATTTACAAAGGGTAACTATTTCAGTATAGAAACTGACACGAACCTTTTCAGCTCACTCAACGGGCAATTAAAAACGTTAATCTATGCAGTTCATTTATTGTCCATACATTGGAGTCATGTGTGCCCTTTTCAAGAGGTTAGTTTTCGCTGAGGGTACGAATGTCATACGATGTCGCCTTAATAATAATAATAATTTACTTATTGCAAGAATATGGTAAAAAATGTTAAGGTGATACAATCGTAAATCGTCCGCATATTCTGCCACACAATGGCGCGCAAATTTGTCTTAAGGAATTTTACATTATTAGTCAAAGTCAATTCTTATATTATACATTACATCATTAAATTTATATCAATTACAGTGTCTCAAGCAAATAATCATTTATTGAATAGTATATTTTACCTAAACGTAATACACTAAGTCGCATTTAAAGACTCGAGATCTTTTAATTCTTTTGGTAATTTATTGTAAACTTGAATTGCCATATCAAAGGTGTTTTTCCGAAACAGTTCCAGATTGATTTTTGGCACAGCCAATTTTTCCCCATGTCTACTTCTTACTTCAACTTCTACAATTGACTTAAAAATATGTATGTTTCTGTGCACGAATAAGGATATTTCTAAAATATAAATACGCTAACATAACCATCAGGCACCCTAAGGCCTAGGCACTGGATCACTGAAAAAATTTGCCATTCCACGTAACAACGTTATAAGATACGTAAGCGCAAATTCTCGGCGCGCTTTGAGCACCTATTATAAAGTTGGATACCTGAGCGGGTAAAATGTTCTTTTATTGAAAAAGGATTCATAGGTAATTGTGCTGGCACACGTATTATTGATATATAATATCAAAAATATTAATTAAGTAAAACTCATTTAAATGGACGGTCTCAGCGGGACGTTTCTTAAGCGGAGCAGTCTTATTCCTAATAGTAATAATAATTTATGTGTTGAAAGAATATGGTAGAAAAATGTGTAAAGTGGTACAATCGTAAGTTCGCATATTCTGGCGCACACGCAATGGCGCTAATTTGTCTTTAAAGAAATTTTACATTTGAAATCATATGAATTGATCAATTCTTATATTATTCGTATCGTACATATCATATTATACGTTATTTAATTTATATCAACTACAGTGTCTCACGCAAATAATATTTTTTCCCCAAAAGTAATACACCAAGTCGATTTTTTAAAACTCTAGTCGGGAGATCTTTTAATTCTTAGATTTCTAAGATCATTATTATTCTCATTTATATCGTAAAATATAATTGAAAGTTATAAGCCAAGCATGAATGCAAAACAGTTGCATCGGTAACCGTCTATTGGCAACAGTGGGCCATTCGAGATAATAATAGCATATTTCCCAAAATATTCAAATGCGCAAACAGAATTTCAGGAATATCGGAGTTTAGCTCGTAAAATTCAAAAGTGTTTGCATCTTGTGTAACAATACAGAATGTATATATGACCACATGAATCACTTTATAGATCGTGTCAGTGAACTGCAATTAGATTAAAATATTTTTATGTTCTGCACCCGAATGTTGGGCGTAATATTCAAAACGACTTTGTTTACGAGTTTCTTTATAAATAACATTGAATGATCATGTTACGTTTAAAGACTATGAGCCGACTGCTTTCTCTCTACGATTTATAGGAACTAGATTCAAACGTTGTTATTTATCACGGAGCACAATATTTTATATGATTAAATACTGCTTTGGCAAGAGCAGCAGGGCCTAGTGGCTTCAGCGTCTGGCTCTTTTACTTGAGGTATTGGTTCTATCCCCGGCTGTGCACCAATGGACTTCCTGTGCGCGCATAACAGTCGCTTGAACGGTGACACACATCGTGATGAAACCGACTTGCCTTAACCAAAAAGTCGGCGGCGTTTGTCAGGCACAGGAGGCTGATCACCTTGTCTATCAGACTGACAAATGCTCATGAAACAGATACAGAAATCTGAAGCTTTTTATTATATTTTTAAAACGCTTTTACGGCACCTATGCAATGCATGGTATAGTGGTCATTGGTTTAATGCATTCTTATGGTATAACTTTTCCAAGCCTTACCGCTTCCTATAACATATAATGCCACCAAGATCGCGACCTTAAAATTGAGGTGGGCGGGCAATAAAGCGCATGGCAGAACAAAAGACCGTCTAGCCCACCGACGACATCACAAAGCAGGCTACAAATGGATGCAAACGGCGACATGCCGGTAGAGTTAGAGGAGAAGAGATATCTCCAAAGATGGACCCAAAAGAATGGCTGGTGATGGCCTATTCAGTGGCAACGGCAATACGCGAAAATATAACGTTAAAGTTTTTATCAGTCGATATTCTATCAAGGACTAAATTCCTATTTCACTCAAGTGTTATATTGCAACCGATTAACGCAGTATGCTCAAGAGTCTTGATCGCTGTCTAGACCACACTAACTATCGTCTATAGACCGCAATGCGATACAATCAACTGGAAAGGTGTCAGATATTTACAGAACTCGCCCGATTGTCCGATTTCTACTCCGTTATTATGTTACATTACGCGTCGTATTTCCAAGCTGATTTTTATCAGGAATAAAATATTTGTTTGCGTAACCTTAGGGATAGTTCACTTCCGGCAATCTATTTGGTCTGCAATTATAATTGTATTTTTAGTTCTAAGCTTGCTGAATGTACACAATTTGACAGAGACATACTTTAATTAAAACAATGTACATAACTGATTTTCGTATAAACAAACTTTTTAAGTACTATTATTTTTTATTCGGTATTCGATAAGTTAAGCTCTATAAAATTTAGTATGATCTGTATCATGGTACCAGTTTAAAAATGACTTTACAGTTGGAAGCTGTGAAGGAGTACGCTGTGGCGGCGACAAACGTTGCGTGTTGGACGCCGAGTTGGGCCCGCATTGTGTGCGATGCGGCGCGTGCAGTGTCGCTGGCACGCCAGTTTGTGCGGTTGACGGACGTACATATGCTGGGGCCTGCGCTTTGAGAAAGGCTGCCTGCGAGCGTGGAAAGGCACTACCTCTTGCTTATAAAGGCGCTTGTATAGGTGATTATTAAACATTATAGGTAAATTTTGTATTTTGTTTCCGGTGGCCTTTTGCACATTTTTTATTAGTCAAGAGAACAGAGGAACATAATTTCTTTAAACTTATTTAAATAGTTTTTTCTGCAATACATTTTTATGATTTGCAATATCAAACATTTTAAAATCGTAAATTATCTTAAATAAATATTGTATTAGTAGGTCAACAGTGAATTACATTTGTATAATTTGTTCGAGATCACCTTAAATTTTGTCATTACATTTAATAAGATTGTACTCTACAGCTCACCCGATCACCTCTTAACTTGGACAGTAATTAAATGTTAAACTTAAAGTTTTCTCGAGAAACATATACAACACAAAACGAATTATTCACTGAGTAATTTCTGACATTATTAAAAATAGCTACAGACAATTAACGGTTATATGCGTTTTTTATCTTTCAGCAAACGCTACATGTGCGTCCATATATTGTGGGGCGGGACAAAGATGCGTACGTGGAGGCGCGAGTGGCGCTCGTTGTGTTTCTTGCGGCGCGTGCGGCGGCGGTGCGAGACGAACATTGTGCGGTACTGACGCAAGGACTTATGGTTCGTGGTGTCGCTTACAACGTGCCGCCTGTCATGCTGGGACCGTTGTTGACCCACTGCATCCCGGGCCTTGTAAAGGTATTTACTAGACATAAAAGTAAAGGTGTGCGGATTCTGACAGCTACATTCTTGGTGGTACTTTAATTGTAGATAATAATGATTTAAAAAAAATATGTATGCAAGGACTCGTATTGGTGAAGGAGAGTTAGACAGTTATTTAATAGTTAGCGTAAAAACGCTTTCTGCGCACTTAGCAATACATTTCAAAAATATATTTAGAATTATTACTACCGTCTATACTACTACTTAAAATTCCGTCGTTCCACAAGTGAACGTTTCTTAAGGGATATTCTGAGTGTCCATAGGCGGCGGTATCACTTAACATCACGTGAGCCTCCTGCCCGTTTGCAAACACTGGTCTAGAGAGTATTTAATTTAGTATAATAGTTTATTTTTCCGTCCAATAATAATAATATATTTTTCTTAAATATTCTTACATTTCCCTGTTAATGTTTCAGGTAGCAAAAATATCACGGACAATGTTGTGACTCATGGGAAACGCAAAAAAGATGATACAAGAGTTCTGTAATAAGTGCTTGTGATGTTGTCCGGTTGAAATCTACAACATTCAAGGCTTTGAAGGTTTTTCAAGTTCAACACTCAACATATTTGGTCAGTTCTGTAGTTTTTATTTTAAACTTTATTGGTACTACTTACTTACTAGCACTGTCGTCGCTCTAAACGAATTTTTAAAATTCTAGCCATAAACAATCGTCTTGATAATCTGTAGTCTTTGTAATTGAATTGTATCCGTATATTTGTTTAGTAAAGTTTAGGGCACCATCTAGCGGCTGACAACTGACTTTGACAATTGTCGACTCACCTAACTTTATATTCCTATTTTAATCTTCCGTAAATATCGGCCAGGCACAGCGTGGTAAATCATAATTTAGATTTAGTGAAAATTTAAAACACTGTAGATAACTTAACATTTAAAAATTTTGAGCACCAAATCGTACTTAATATTTAGTCAAAATATTACTTTAGGCGTGTAGTTAGCACAATATGGTACTTCTATGATAGGTATTTCGTATTCTAGAAAATTATATTTCTGTCCTGGTGACGTCACGGGAACCAACCTTAAAGGATGATCTTCATCGAACTGACATTTTAATATACCTAACATTTAGTTAGAGTTAATTTTACTTAACGCTTATGCAATATTTATTATTAAGTTATGAATTATAATGATCTAGTGCAATAATGTTATTGAAATTTGTGTGAAATTTACGTTGTGTTTTGTATTATAAAATTGTAACGCGATCATTGGAAATTCTAAAATATTATTATAGAATACTTTCAGTATTATGTACGTAAGATTTAGAATGATAATTTCGAAAATGTTAATTGTAGTATAGCGTTACGTTTATTTATTTCCAAATGTTTCAGGGATAATGTATGAATGTTTTGCGAATTGATTTTATTAAGACTCTCGGGTCCCGCTTAGCTGTAAGTAGTGGAGTTAAATTTAAGTACTCCCCAATACTGTATTTCGAATCTACTTGAAACGTTTCTTCTAAATGTAATGTATCCAAAGATATTATAAATTCACTCAAAAATATTTGGTCTCATAATAGTTGCATTGTATGAATTCATATATATTTTCATAATAGTCTTTACGTAAGTATTTTTTAAAAGTTTACCGGATTAAAACGCGTTTATTCATCAGGAATTCAAGGTCGATTTAAATGGATAACCCATTTTAATCCGGTAGAAGTATTTCTTTTTAATATATGAACTTAGAATTTACTTTCCTAGTAGGCGTTAATGTTATTGTAAATTATTTATCAAAATTTACGTAGTTTAGCTGTCGACTTTAGTCTAACTAAATCAAACACAGTAGAAACCGGATATTACTTGCGTATCTAGACTTTCATACCCTATAATATTGTGTTCTTATTTGTCCAGCTTTATATACCGAATCGATATCCTGTCGGATCTTTAGGATGTTTTCATGAAATGATAATGAGCCTACGGGAGCTTTGCTCTAACTTCTGACGGTCAATAATGTAACTATTTTGCCGCGCGTTTATCTATTTATATCGTTAAATACTGATTATTGACTCAGACCCCTCCAACGGCAAACCAATTCATAAAATTTTTGATTAACAATAAGGGGAATTACCATCCGGTTTCGACTGACTTTTCTAATTGTTTATAGTGCGACATATTGTGTAAAAGTGCGTGTTAGGTCTTTGTTTCAAAATGGGTCTCCACTACATTAATCGTTTGGAGTAGTTATAATGCTCAATTGGTGTTAATTCTGTACGGTTACGTAAACTAAACCAATTCCTTAAGGATAAATGTTCTACAAAGTAGCTTTAAAAATGTGATAATTCGTACACAATGAATTTCATACTCTTATGGGAGTTCAGAGTAGAGCCTAGTAAGACCGTCTGTCAAATCCAATGTGTCCTTTGTTTTTAAAATTGTCTTTTAAAATCAAAGTGTCAACTGTCTAATGTCAACCGTCTACTGACTATTGACACTTATACACGTGTCATTTCAGAATTGGCACCATTATCGCATATGAAAATGCAAGTTTTATACACATTTGGATGTAATGCGTACTCAAATTGTTATATTGTTTCAGTTTTGTTGACATCTAAAATTGTTAACGCACTAAAATGATAATATATTTTCCTTGTTTCTTTATAAATATTTTACACGGAGTTCTAGTTTTATTTCATCCCCTTTAAGAAATTGTTTGTGCTTGTCAATTGCTAAATTAACCGCATTTACGTCATCATCTTCATTGGCAAATTCAGGGTATCATCAATGACATGATCCTGACCCTGGAGCCTGGACAGGGTCTTGCTTTATCACAAAACTTTACATTTATATTCTTACAACTTTTGTTAGTGGATATTACAGATGCTATATAAAAACGGCCCCAAACTGTCATTTTACACACATTTAAGCGTTGGTTTAAAAAATAACTTAGACTGAAAAAATCTTAACATTCTTGCTATTACTATAGTACCCCTACTATAGTAATAGCAAGAATGTTAAGATTTCCGGGTACAAAAGTAACACTTTGTACTTCACACTTGATTTGTGGCCAGGTTTTAATATTGTCATTAAATTAATATAACCATATATAAATTCAGTTTATGTTCTTTACACTAGCAGCTCGATTTTTTTTACTATGGTGTGTTTTATATGAATAACAGAGAGTTAAAAAAAAATCATCAGTTGTTACTTTCGACCACGTAGGCAGGTCGAAAGTAACAAGACGAAGAGGTTGGTAATTAATACAATATTATATGTCTAATCAACAATTATTTATTTAAAAAGTAAAAGTTCTGCATTCTGCATCCATCCACTAGCATTGCCAGCTCCGGCACAACCAACAGGACCCTCAAGAATCATGTGGTCTTGGAATTGTTTAAATGGGAATACGAAAAAGGAGGTATGTGTCCTCCTTGAGCATTAATGGCAACAGCAACAGTTCCTAATCTTCCAAGTTCTGAGGTTACTGCACCTACTTGTTTAGTTCCTTTTTGAGCAACAATCTTGCTAGGTTTGTTTGTTACTTGTGTACCCATAGGACTATGTTACTTTTGTACCCTTCCTCATTTTTGTTGAAACATGAAATATAACTTAAAAACGGAACGTGCTAAACAAAAACAAATTTAAACAATGTACAATCAATCTAATCAAAAATAGATATGCAAACATTCAGATTCCTACCATCCTTTTACGACTATGTAAACATTAAATAACAAAATATCGAAAAACTTAGTTTTCGTTTGTAAAAACACGTAGTATCCTCTCACACAACCTAACAGTGCGTGGAGTACGCGGCGACTAACTACAAGTGAGGGGGGCACTCTCAGCTATCGCCTGACGGCGGCGAAGCTGTTTTCGCCCATTGGATGAATCTAGAGAGCATTTGTTACTTTCGACCCGCCGTTACTTTTGTACCCGGTCTCCCCTACTTATCTTACGTCATTTAAATTTACTTTGTATTGAATTGTTTCTTTGGCCATATGGATTTTTTCGGAACTATGTCCGCAATTATCGACATTTAAATCGATTTATCAAACAAGCCGTTGTAAACTTATAACTATTACTTAAAAATTGAGTGACAACCTCTAGGTCTCAAAAATTTATGTGTCTGTCACCTGTCCCGAAGGCTCGTTTGCCCTCCTATAAGAAATTCAGTTTCGGATTATTTATTTTTCTTAATAGGCAATTTTTTGATAAGCCTTCTGTGCCTGACACTCGGCATTGAAGGTCGAACAACACTGCTCTACATACCGGTAATTGTTTTACCGATAATATTTGGAGTAAACAAGTCGTATATATACACAATAATTCAAATGCTTAGAAAAAGGAATAAAGACTGGTGTCCCGTTGCAGAAAAGTCTACTTCACCCGACTTCAAAAATTACAGGTTATCAGGTTGACCTCACAGTGTTGGAATTGGATATTTGAATTCCATTCGGGAACAATCAAAGGCCCGTATTCACGAACGTCAATCAAACTAAAATCTACTTGCAACTGTCAAACCATTTTTTCTGAATGAATTTTGACATCCGACAGCGCACAAGACGAGATTGTGACTGAATTGAAACTGAGAACGAAATTTTTGGCCACAGATAATCGGTAAATAATGTTGCCATGTATTTGAAGTCGCTTTTAAAAAAAGGCTAAAGTTTTTTTAACTAACACGAATTATTGTTTTGCCGGGTTATAAACCCAGCTATCATACATATATAGATTAGTTAAATAGCACTTTTGAATATTTGTAATAAAAGGCAATATCACTTACAAATAATTTAATAGTTATGTCACTTAAAAAATGTCTTAATACAGAAAATCTAATCACATTGTCTGCTTAAATGTTGACAGTATACAGAATGCTATACATATATTTTATTAATATAAACCTAATTGCATCGTTTCAACTAAAGTACATTTGTCTCTTTCTATCAAAATATATTTATGGTGTGACAAAAAGATAAGAAATGCAATTAGATTTATATTTATTTTTATGAATAATATTGTCAAATTGTAATTGGCTTTTGTGTATTCGGGAATTATGGAAGAATCTTATACATTCACAAATATGGAAATACAAACATTATTAACTAATATTTCTCTTAAACTAAGACCTTTAGCAGTATATTATACCTAAATAGCAAACATTCAAAAGCATTTGCCTAGTTATTAAACTAGAGTCCGCGCCACCAAAAAAGTTTAATTTGACAAGTCGGCCTTGTTTCTTCTGTGTTGCCAACTTGGGGATATCCCCTCCAAATTTAGGAGGAATCAGGATTTCCAGGGATTTAGAGAGAACAATTATTTAGGAGGATTTTTATATAATATATTCAAGCGAACTGCGGGACTTATTTGGTGGCGCGGACTCTACGTTGAAACATCAACACGAGCTGTCAAAACTGACATTGCATGACCAAAACTTGATAATCGTAAAGAAACTTGAAATCGTGCTAAAAGACCTTGGGATTGAGACAAAATTAGTTTTAGACTGACCCACTAATGTCATAGTAAGTATAGGAATGACATTAGCTCACGATTTGCCACGTGACCATATGATTTTCATACAAATTCTTTTACTGGGTCACGCCTGTCAAAAAGTGATTTTGTCTCAACCCCCTTAATTGTGTTTGGCAAAGTATTAAAAACGTCAAATATATGTTTACTCGGAAATTCAAGGTTTTTTGGACTAGAACCACAGTCAATAGCAATAGTCGAATATTATAGTAAGTACAGAATATACAAATATTTAAAACTCCAAGACGGTTGACAGATGAAATAGTCGGCAGTTAATTGTAGGTTTAGGTAATTGTAGGTCGAAAGTTTAAAACTGTAAATGAGAATTTCCATAAATAATTTGACGCACACATGTACATGTGTTAAAACTTTGTCAAACTCATGATAACTATCAGAATTGTTTCGGAATAGATAGGATACAGCGCCGGTACTCTGTAACTTTCAATAGCGAACTCAACTTTTTATATAGACCAGGGGCCAATGATGTTAAGTGAAACCGCTCATGGACACTCTTAATGCCAGAGGGTTCGCGAGTGCGTTGCTGGCTTTTTAACAATTTATACACTTTTTCTTGAATGACCCTACGTCGAATTGGTTCTAATACTTCAGGGCAACTAGTCCCACGTATTAGTTAAACGTAAATTAATCAATAAAGCTTTTTATAAATCTGACAATTATTTAAATGATCCTAATCCTTGGGATTGATTTGCTCCACTTCAAATAATTTGTATGACTCAAATCTTGGCGATTAAAAAGAGTGGCGGAAATTTTCTTGCCAGTTCTTCATACCCGCTCTACGCCCTTGACTTGCGAACTGGTAGTAAATGTAAATTAAGAATCAATTTAACATATTTTCTGTTGACGTTCTTAAGTGTACTTGTTTACCTATATGAATAAAGTTAGTTTGAGTGGTGAGCGGAAAAACTGCCTAAAATAACGCTCAGTTGTGGAACGTCGAAGAACTTAAACAGAATTTGGGGTCACGTGGTACATAGTAGTCGCTATTGAGAGTAACAGAATAGCAAAACCATAGTCAACAGATTTAAAAACTAATTTATGCAATTTCCTGCTGCATAGTGGTTCTCGTGAACAATTCCATCGTCAATGCACTAAGGAATACTGGAATGGAGCGATGTTGGTGTAAATGCAACTCTACTAATTCGCCTAGAGATGTCGAATAGTCTGTATGCACCATCTCTATGCCGTCCTCACAGAGGGTGAAGGTGAGGTACTCCTCAGCCGAATCCGCGTACATATTTGATATTCTAAAACAATAATTTAATTTATAATACGAAAAAATAATTTGCAATAAAAGACAAAATTTTATCATATTGAGTTATGTTACCTAACATTAGAGTCTGGTTAGTGAAATAAGATAACGAAAAAGCGCGGCAAATTCAGAAAAAAATTAGTATGGTATTCCTAAAAGTTTGATATATTTTGTGGATTAAACTTACTTGATACTTGATTTTATTTTATTAGTTTTTACATTGATAGTAACTGTATTTCTATGAAATTAAATACTATACGTATTTAGTCTATTGATACTTAAAATGACTAGCATTGCATGGAAAACTAAAACTTGTAATTGCATGAAATATCAAGACAATAAATCATACTAACCTAAGAAATTCAATGACATTCTGTGTTGCCATGCCTGAGTCCTTTAGTTTTTCTCACACTCATTACTCCTTTCTGATAATGTCCAATGGGTCGACTACACTTATATACTTTATAGGATGCGTCACTGAGATTTAAGAACCCATAAGTCAAGTTAGGTTTTTGTCTAGCGTCGCAACCCCACTACCCCTAATTTTGTTACTCACGTTTTAAACGATTAAAGCCAGTTGACACTAAGTTACAAACAAAGTGTTACTTTATTACTGGGGTCTACCAAGAAGTCGACGGCGTGTGTCAGGCACTGGAGGCTGATCACCTACTTGCCTATTAGATTGACAAATAATCATGAAACAGATATATAAATCTGAGGCACAGACCTAAAACGGTTGTAGCGCCACTGTTATCTTTCTTCGATTAATAAGAGAGACCCAGATGTACATAGTATAATCAATTGTTGAAATACCTGTAATTTTTATGTCCCGTCCTATCAATCTTGTATCCTAGCAACATGTAACAGACATCTCTGTACTCTTGCGCTGATGCTGTGAACTCCTCTTTCATCCTAAAAATAATATCGTCTATTAATCTTTGACTTGAATCTGTGGTCTGTGAAACCTTATGTCTATAATTAAATGATACCTCTGCAATTTAATCCTGCTATTTTCGAGGTTCTTTTTTAATTCTTGCATTTCTTCCGGACAGGCCTGGCTGCCCTCACGCAGGGCGGCCTTCAATTTCTTGATCTGAAATTTTATAAATATTTCTATACTATTATAAAGTTGACAAGTTTGAACGCATTAAGGAAGGTTCGAGTTAGGTTTAGAAAATTTACATTAAAAATGTTGTTTATAATTTAAAAACTTCTTATTAGTCACATATATTATTTAGCTGACCCGGCAAACTTTGTTTTGCCATGTACGTATATATTATTCCAAGGAAACATTATTTTAGTTCAATAAAAATAACTGTCTACTAAAATAAAAAAAGGTTTTGATCGAAGAGGGTAGATGAAAATTAAGGGTTGTTTGTATTTTTTTGTATGCCGTATCATAAAAAAATAAAACCAAAAACATTTGTTTAAAAAAAAATTTTATTTAGGGTGGACAACCCTTATCACTTAGGGGTTTGAATGATAGATAGTAGCCGATTCTCAGACTCAGTGAATATGTATAAAAAAATTCATAAGAATCGGTTGAGCCATTTCGGAGGAGTATGGGAACGAACATTGTGACACAAGAATTTTATATATTAGATTACTCCCATTAATCACTTGAACGGTGGAGGAGGGGGTCCTGCAAAAATCACGAGATATCACAAGGGGGAAGGGGGCGGGGTATGTAGTAAGGCCAAGACATAATCACGTATATATTATGTCTTCGTCAAACGCGCGAACTGTTGCAGAAAGTCTTTCTAATCCGTGGTCCTTGGATAATGTACATATGTTCATGTACTAGTACAATTTATGTTTATTGCATTACACCATTTCTTTAACATTATTTTTTGTCTAGACATTTTTATTATGATACTTTATACCTGTATATATTGGATGTTAGTCTTAAACCTCACCACGCATTACCAAGAAGTAAAAAACGTTAAAAATATCACACGATTAATGAACTGAATTGTGTATGTGTACCAAATAAAAGTATTTGAAGTTAAAGTAAAAAAACATATTCTTTTTGTCAGTGATTGTTAAGGGTAACCTTTCTAGTGAATGAAAAATATAATAATTTGCCTCTGAAAAACCAAAAACCAAAAAAAACTAACCTCTTCTTGGGCGGATTCAAGGTCCGATTGCATTTGTTTCTGAGCCATCGCCGCCGGATTGTCTGCCATGTGTAATACCTAAATTATTCAAATCATTTTAATAAACTAAATAAGCTACACCATGAGCACACCCCACATACACACCCTTACGAAACATACTAGTTTCTTTACAAATTATTTGAACCTTTTTGTATATATAATTTATTTCATCTTTGGCTATATTCTAGTATAATTTTTGTTATACAGTCAAACCTGGATAAGTGAGAGCTCAAGGGACCGCGATCTCATATTCTCTTATAGAGCTTTCTCACTTACGCGAGTTAATACGCGGTATAATAAATAAAGTATACCTTTTTGGCGATCGTGTCAATAAATTGACAGAAGTGATATATATATATATATGATAACTCTATACAAGTATCCAACAAGTCAGTAGAAATTGAGTCCTTAAAATCTTCATTATGTAAGGTTTTGAGTGAATAAATTATGTGGATAAATGATTCGAAAACAAACAAATAACAGCTAGTCAATTACGATTGGACGTAGTGTACTAAATTTTAAAGGACAAGATAAGATGTATAGAATTATACAAAAACTAAAATAATTGATGCACTGTAACATTGCAAAAAGTTGAAATGGAAACACCAACAAAAATCAAAACAGGTAGGTAACACAATGTACACTACTTATGAACGTCAAAAAATAAATATCCATTAAATGCTTCTAATTTTACATTTACTGCCAGTTCTCAAATCAAGGGCGTAGAACGGAAGAGAAGAACTGACAATAAACTCTCCGCCACTCTTTTTAATCGCCAATTTTTTTGTTTTACACAACGTTTGTAAGGAGCTGCAACCATTACACCAAGTTCCACATGACATCTTAAGTAATAAATAATAATAAAATAAATTAAAAAACAAAGATTTGTCTTCTATCAGCAGGAGGCATGGTGAAATGGGAGCACGCATTTACATTCTCGTGGGAACAACACGCAAATACATAGTCGAAAGTCGAAACAACTAACATCACCGCATACACGAATTCAAGTACCGCGTGATCCGCGTAAACAATGAGAGGACAAACAGGGTATATATAATAAAAGGCGGAATGGCCCACGAGGGAAAAGAACGGTCGTTGCAAGACAAGTTGGTGGGGAAGATGGGCGGAACAATCTAAAAAAAACGGAACTGGAGAAAAACAATAGCTATTTTTGAATAAAACTAAAAATTATAGTATAGCTTTTGTAAAAAGTACTGGCTCAAAGATGAAATGAGGCTTAATTACTATTATGTGTACATTATTGCCTTACTTATAAACAATACTAAACTGGATTTTACCACTTCTCGACGTATATTCAGCTATCACAATGTGAAATTAATATTAGTTGAACCTAGCTTAATTTAACTGGTTATTCATTCAATATATAAATCCTTAATAATCACTCTTTATGCAATAAAATAAAAACCTATTACATATTATACACACATATTTTACCTTAGAGGGTGCAGCGAGTTTGTCAAGATGCGCATGCAATTGATCTCTTTGCGCGCGCAGTTTGCTCGCTTCACGCTTTGCCGTTTCTGCTTCCTCTCGGTATTTGCTTGCTTCCGCTCTGGCGGTTTCCAATGCTGGAATTGAGAGGCTTAATTTAGAGAATCCCAGTACGAAAATAAATATGATCACCCTGGTTTTCCTAGGATTACTTAAAAACATATAAACTATATATTGACTAAGGATTATCTCACAAAATACTTACTGTGTTTACCACCATGTACTAGAAGTTCGTGTCTTAGGTGACCTCACCGAAAGTATTCGTAATAATTAATGATTTCTTAAATTATTATTTCTATTTTCTTTTCTTTATTAATTTTTTAGATTATTTTTAGTTCAGGGGCCAAATGTTCAGGAAGCTCAACTGATATTATGTGAAACCGCAGCCCTTGGACACTCTACCAGCCTCGCAAGTGCGCTGCCGGCCTTTCAGAAACTGTTACGCTCTTATCTAATTCAAATTGGTTCGGAAAAACTTCAGTGGGCAGCTAGTTACACATAGTGCCGTGTAGGCACTTTTTGGCAAAAAGTGCATTAAAACGCGCAAATTTTATATTTCTGGTTTTAATTAAATTTAAATACTTGTCAAGATATTTATGAATCAAATAAAAAACTGTCGTAAATTTTTACCTTTCGTTTGTGACTCTTGATCGTGAGTGGCAAGAAGATCCCTATAGCTCTGCAATGATCTCTCAAGCTGTTCCACCCTTGCCGAGAGTAAGGCAGCACTACCAGCCCCCACGTCACCACTCAATGTCACTGTCAACTCCTTCTCGTAGCTGTCAAGCTGCTGTCTACAATTGCAACTCTTTGAGTAAATAGATTCTGATGTGTTTACCAAGTTTAGTCCTGTCAACCATGCAACAACAGTATTTCGCCTCATTCTGTCAAATTGTGTTAAAAGGGACAGATTGTGGATTGGGGATTACGTTTAGTTTAGAAATTCGTACATCATGGTTGACACGAATTTTAAGGTAAGATTTAAAAAAAGCAGCTAATACCTTTCGTATGTCAAAAACGTATTAATTTTGTCATACATGTACTCTTCATCGTTTCTCTGAGCTCGTATGCGATGCGCGCGCACACCGTCACAAAAAACCCTTAATATCTGTTCAAACGTCGGTAAAACAGTCTGGGGCGCTGGTTGGCGCTTGAACTGTTTTATCGACAAGTTGCATTGTCTGTCATGGCGTAGTGTTTTTCAGAGTCGTGTTTATTTAAACCAAAATAATGATTTCTATACGAGAAAATCTCTTTCCAAAGTGATAAAAAACATAGTGTTTATTGTAAAATATTATGTTCAGTATATTATATTAGGTGCTTACATATGAAATTGGCGTTTTGTATGGGGAAACAAAAAGTCGAATATTTTTAAATATAATATATTTAATTATTCAAAGTATGAACCATTGTTTTCTATGCACTTTTGCCATCTCATAGGTAGTTCATTGATCCCTTTACTAAAAAAACCAGTCGGACGGGAATCAATAAAATATGTGAAGGCGATTTGGACTGCCCCATCAGAGTTAAATTTTTTCCCTTGCAAGAAGTTGTCCAAACTTCGAAAAAAATGGTAATCTGTTGGAGCAAGGTCCGGGGAGTACGGAAGATGTCTTAGACATTCCAATTGAAGCTCTTCTAATTTGGTAGCCGTCTGTTGTGCAGTGTGTGGTCTAGCGTTGTCGTGAAGTAGCAGCAAGTGCAAACCATGATGGAAAATCATGGTTTGCAATTGCTGACAATATACCTCAGCCGTAATAGTCTGGCCAGATTTGAGAAAACTGCAATGAACAATACCGGCACTAGTCCACCAAACGCTTACAAGTAACTTTTTTGGGGTTAATTTTCGCTTGGGGCAGGATTTGGCTGGCTGGCCAGGATCCAACCATTGCGCTGAGCGCTTCCGATTATCGTAAAGAATCCATTTTTCATCACAGGTAATGATTCGGTTTAAAATACCTTCATTATTGTGCCGGTTCAGTAATGTAACGCAACAGTCGACGCGCGTTTGCCGGTTTGCTTCAGTCAATTCGTGAGGTACCTTTCAAGCTTTTTAATCTTCCCAATTTGCTTCAAGTGAATTAAAACAGTTTGATCACTAACACCGCAGCCTGCAGCTAACTCGGACGTGGTTTGCGATGGATCCGCTTCCACAATAGCCTTCAATACTTCATAATCAACTTGGGTCTCAGGCCGTCCACGGGGCTCGTGCTGCAGGTCGAAATTTCCAGAACGAAAACGTTGGTACCAAAAACGAACTGTGTTTTCTTTTGCAACATGACCGCCATACACATCATTCACCCTTCGAGTCGTTTCCGCGGCACTAGTGCCACGGCGGAACTCGTACTCGTAAATAATGCGATACTATAAGTTTTGGATTTTGTAAAATGAGTGACGCACACAGAAAAAAACAAATGAATGACGGTCATCGAAGCACAAATACATGAGTAAATAGCTGTGCAAATATGAATTTGGAATTCCTTACCTAAGAGGAGAACATCGTGATTAAAGTGGCCAGTACGAAATACGCCAATTTCATATGTAAGGACCTAATATTATATCGTTTCGATTGGACGTGACCATTAAAATGGACAAGAAAAATGCAATTCGAAGAGGGAAATTTCCCTCTAAAGTGCTCGAAGAAAATTATAACGCCAAAGAAGTATAACTTATAACGCGTGTACATAAGAACTGACACGTTTTTTTATAGTATCGTATTTTTTAGTCCTATACCTCTTTAACTACACTAATATTGTAAAGAGATGTATTTGTGAAACTAGTGAACCGATTTTGAAAATAATTTCAAAAATAATAATGTACTTACCTATAGCTATCCCTTTCTCTAGTAACAATAAGGAGTCTCTTCTGTAGTCTATGAATGAGACTCTCCTGATTTTTCTTTACGTTTTGCAGATCACTCAACTTGGTAGTCGCCTTGTCACGTTCATACTTAACTGTTGCCAATTCCTATAAGGTATTATTACGTTTAAAAATGTGAACTGTGATTAGATGTGAATATGGACAAAACTTAAAATCAAGCAAGACATTGCAAATGAAACGAAATCAAGCGATTTCGATTATAAATATCGCTCTATCAGCAAAATATAACTTAAATTAGACGAAAAAAACAAAAAGTATCTACAACAAAATGTATGTACCTACAATTTCAATAGATTGCATAGTAGGATTTTTTGATCGAAGTCAAACACGAAATCGAATCGAGAACAAAATTGTAAGAGTAAAATATACCGCGTGCAATCTAGTGCGCTATTATAAAATGAATGTTGTATACCTCGGTTAGTTGTACCATCTGCGATTCAGCCTGGTTGGCACCAGCTACGGCTGTCAGTTGACCACTCAGGGCATTATCGAGTGCAGAAGACAGCGCTCTTGCGCATTCCACGCCGTGGCCTCTTGCAGCGCTACGCCATTCCTCCAATGAGGATTCTAAGGTAGATATTTTTACCTGCAATACAATAAATTACACTAATATAACGTATGCCATGGTGCTAGATATGTCATGCCGCATTCGAACAGCCTATAGTCTTCCACAGTAGACCATTCAGCAAAAGTAATTTCGTAGAAGCTCTAAATAGGGAATTTTTATTGTTTTCGCAACATACAACAATACATCGAGAAAAACATGTCATTGGTGCTGTAGTTAGGAGTTGCAAAGATAACACGAAATCTTTCCTCTTTAATATAAGGTAGATAATCTTGATTCATTGAGATAATGTTTTATCAGAGTATATACAATAAAATACAAAAATACAATAGTACAACAACCCTATGGCTTCCCTCACGCGGCTTTTAATAGTAGGACAAAAACAATTTCAAAGATACCTATATATGTCAGAGATTATGTAATAGTTGACGATGGTTTTTGTTTTATTAGAATGGCAATATTTGGAGATTGATTTGAGAACTGGCAGTAAATGTAAAATTAGAAGGATTTCATATATATTTATTTTTTGACGTTCATAAGTGTACATTGTGTTACCTATATTATAAATGAATTTGAATTTTGACCATCATAGATATCTTACAGGTAAATTGTCAATGTGTCAAAGTCAATTTGTCAGTATTGCGTTAAATCGATCGTTGAGCTCTCTCTGATTGGCACCTGCACCGGGCGTCGTCCTGACCTTGTTTTTATTATTATTAGACAACTTGGCAAATATTAAATCGCTTCGAATGAGCGACAATAATAATAATACATTTTTATTTGTTTTTAAACCCCAAGAATCGCGAAGTCTTACCTTAGCCTCATGCAATTCCTGTTGCGTTGATTGAAGTGTGTCAACCTTACTACTGAGAATATGTACTTGTTCCTCCAACAACAGTTTATTGCACACCGCATCACGTAGTGTGCGTTCCGTTGCTCGGAGCCTGCCCACTTCCTTCTCTAACTCAGCCATATTGGATAGACGTTTTTGTGCCGTCTGTAAGAAAAACCCTTGGTTTAATAGTGGTGCCACGCGGCGGCGATTTTTACGTATAAGGATGAGATTCGATACTTTGCATAGTCGAGACTCTGCTATGAATAAAAATAAATCAGTGGCACTACAACCGCTTTAGGTCTTGGCCTCGGATTTCTGAATCTGTTTCATGATCATTTTTAAATCTAATAGGCAAGTAGGTGATCAGCCTCCAGTGCCTGACACACGCCGTTGACTTTTTGGGTCTAAGACATGTCGACGATGTTTTCCTTCACTGTTCGGGAAAATGTTAAATGCGCACATAGAAAGCAAGTCCATTGGTGCACAGCCGGGGATCGAACCTACGACCTCAGGGATGAGAGTCGCACGCTGAAGCCACGGGGCCAACACTGCTCTTAGCTATGAATACCGTAAATAAAAACCAATACTTTTAATTGACTTCAAAAATATGTGTGATATTCTAGAGTCGATAATATTTGATTGTGATGGCCTCAAATTTTTGAAAATGTCATTAATCGCAAAATATTGGCCCTCAATTTTAGGGGCCGCTCAAATATTACGTAAGCACTATGGGTGGGAGGGGGTCTTTGATTTTCTTATTTGGTGATTACGTCAACAGTAATTATTACATTTTTACATATAAATTGAAATGCATTTTCGAGGATTCCTACAAAAAATTAATACGTTTATGTACTATTATTTTTGAGAGCTTTGGTTACCCTATACCGTTTCAGACATGTTATTCTGTACAGACAAGAATTAAATGCACATATAGAAAAAATGCGTAAAGGCATGGTAAAGTACTTACGGCGCCACTTACATGAACTTTATGACCCTATGACGCAACATTTATATATATTTATTTTTCATACTGTCAAATTGTTTTATTAATATACATTAATTTGGCCAAAAGAATGTACCTTAGCTTGTTGTTGCCAATCTTTATACGAGTCCCTCTCATATTCAATTTCCTTCAACTTGTTAGAGACCTGTTGCAATTCAAATGTTTGCTTCTCGAGTTGTGCTCGGAGACTTGTACATTGATCTGCTTTCGTTTTAAGTTTCTCAACTTCCCCTTTTAGAAGTTGACTTTCTTGTTGTGCATCTTCTAAAGCCTATAATAAGAGTTAAATAATCAAATTTTAGCTAATAATAATTTTATTAAAATTGGGAGTTTCCATTTATTAATATTTCCTGCTTCTAATAAGGGTTTTGAGTTTGTGTGATACCTTTGGAACATAGATTTATATAGCAAGAGAAAATAAATAACGTACATTGTCAGAATACTGTGAGCTTGTTATTGTACACAAAAATTTTATATAGACTATACTAAAGAAAAAGGGTGCGTGTACTTATGTAAGCGCGTAAGAAGTTATACTTCTTTGGCATTATTAAAAATAGTTTTTGTATGCATGCAAATAATTAATTACAATTAAATAATCAAAGACTGGAAAAGGAGTCATTATAGTCAATAAAGTTCAGTTTACATTTGAAAAATTAAATAAATAAATATTTTTATTATTCTCTTACATTAAGTGTAACATAAATTCTATTATTATTCGAATGTTGTTTTTAAATTATGTCCAATGCCGTAGCATCTTCCGTGGGCAACTTCATTAAGATAATTTTGTGTCACGATGCGCGCGCATCGTAAAATTTCACTCTCATCAATTATTCATAACGCGCCTAAAGAAGTATAACTTCAAAAATTTCATCAGAAGACATATCAAATTTGTTAGTTACAAACTATTTTTAATCATACTTTAGTTTTCAAAAATTTGTATGTAGAAAAATCTCACCGCTAATAATTCATTCATATCCTTTTGCATTTCTGATACTTGATCTTTGCAACTGACATTAGCTTGTAATAATTGGTCTTTTAACTCGGCAACTTGCTTTTGGAGCTCCATTCTATCTTTCTCCCATTTAGCTTTAGTGTCTTTGAATTCTTTCATAGACTGTAATAAAAAATAATGAGGTATTAAACATGCTTTTATTTATAAATACAACAGCTTTGTATATATGTTTTTGATTAAATTAAATACAAATTAGGGTGACGATTTAAAAAAAAAGAAAAAATCAATTTTAAATTAATTTTAAAGATTAAATTTCAAAGTAAGATAAATAGTTAACCAAGTGATTTTGTAATTTTACCAACACATTTTATTTTTGACTCAATAATGGGCAATCATTAAGCCAATTTTTCTTCTTTCAGCTCCGAGTAAATAGACTTAAACAATATTTATTTTTTTTATTTATTTACATTTCTTGCTAAAAAAAAAAAGAAACACAATACATAAAAATTATAAGGGATGCAACGGGCGGCCTTATCGCTAATAAGCGATCTCTTCCTCACCCTAGTTAAAGAGAAAAACTAAAAAAAAAAAGAAACATGATGAAATATTCTTTCGGAACATATAATTACCTCAGTAAACTCTTCACGTAAATCCTGCTCCCTTTTCCTAACTATCTGCAGTCTGTCATCTAAGTCCGAAATGATTCTCTCATCTCTCTTATGTTGCTCTATCAGGGAGCCCTTTTCCTCTTCAAATAAGATTTGCATTTCTTTACGAATAGCATGTTGATGGTTGATGCGAGCTTCTAATTTTGTTATCTAGGATTGATAAAAACCAATTACATTTAATAAAAAACTACTCTGTATTAGTCAAGTCATAAAAGGTTACATAGGGATAAAGCTGACATTTCCTGGATAGAAAACTTTGGGTTGTTCTTTTATTTACTTGAAAAGATACTGTATGTATTAATTGACATAAAGTACTGAAAAATATACTAAAATAATTCATGCTCTAAGTATATATATTATATAAAAGATTCTTACTTGCGCCTTGGCACCAATAAGGTCAATTTTCAATCTTTTTGCTTCCCAAGGCGAAGGAGGTACACTACTAGTTGAATCTGATCGCGTTCTCTTACCAGGTGTCTCTGCTATTTCACCACAACTAATTTTGCGTTTGCCCAAATTGGATAGGTTAGCTATACCTAAAATTTGCAGAATAATAGCTGAAGTTAGTAGGTAGGTAGTTAGTAGTTTTTTAAAAGTATTAAAACTATAAGGTACCTTCTTTCATAGATTGGTTATTACTATCTGAAAAATTTAACTTTGCCGAAACCGACAACCTATCTTTTGGGGGATCGGTATTAATAACGCGCCGAAACGGCTCTAACACATCGTTAAAAAGCGACACGTCGCTTTCTTTAGCCATAATTATCAATATTAACTCATCAAGCTAATGAAATATGTTAACTTTAAAATAAAGACTAACGTTCTAAGTTTTTATAAAAACGCAGACACGAAAATAAATAAAACCATTGATTGGAATTTTAAAGTTGTATCTTGTTCTTGTACAAATTACAATGTACATGGAAGTTTCATATTTGTCAGTTGTCATATTGTGATACTTTGACATTAGTTGGAGTAGCTTATCAAAATTTGGCCACTAGTATTTTTAATTTATTTTTGGGAAAAAAATCGTTATTGTTGTTTTAATTAAAATATCGTCAGAAGTAGCTTTGTCACGAGTTATTTAGCCAACATAATCTCGACGTCGTAAAATTACGGCCTTATCATTGCGATCTATACAGCTAATGAAAAGATGATGAAAGGTAGGGGTAAAATTGTCAGTGACATAGATTTAAGTCCCAACTATGCTAATTGTCAAGGTGTATTATGGATGTGATATAGTGGATCTGTGGCCTGCGGCCTGCGCTTGGTACTTGGAAATGTGACGAGAATCGAGATGCGCTTGCGCTGCTTTGATTTCAAATTATATTTACTTTAAAATTGTTAGGTTTAATTCCTGTTTGAATGAAACTGCACGTAATTTATATACTGTAAACACAGTGAAGATTTATTTTCAATAAGAAAGAAAAAATGTAATTATTCTATAACAAAATAAGATGAAATTAACTAAATAGGATGGCAGATAATAAAATGAGGAGCAATAAAGATGTAAAAAATTTAAATCAAAACGAAAATTACTGCGTCTTTAATGTTATTAGTGTTTTTATATCACTTGTTACAATACTTGCTGATTGGACCACAGGTAGTATTAGTAATATAGATTTAATTTAGGTAATAGTAACTTATTTAATATTCTTTAAATGTTTTAGATATTCTTGTCTTTATTGAATACTGTAAGGATGGCTACATGGACTGGGCTCTTATCACAATAACTTTCATTGTTACACCCAACATTTTATGTAATATATTTTCCTTAAGATGGTATGTGATTGATAAGAAGCTAAGTGTTCATCATTGGATTACACATGGATTTTTAGCAGGATTATTAGAAAGGTATTATTTTACCAGTATCAAAGTAAAAAAATCAACTATTTTGTTTGTAATAATAAATTAATACAAGTTGAGCAACAAACAATGTGCTTGATAAATTAAATATGAAAATATACCCCTTTATGCATAAAGATAACATGAAATTAAAACAGTTATCAAATGTTGTGTCATTATCATGCTATAAAAATAATTGGGACTATTGGAGGATTATATATGTTTAGTATAGTTCTTAGTCATCTGATCACATACTCTCTGATAAATGGCATGAGAGACTTAGTGATACTTAGTCAGTTGATCATATTGAGCGCACCAATAGATGCTCATTAAGCCTTAAATACTAAGCCACATATTTGGAGCAATTACACTGTATAGCGTTGTTCTTCTTCATTACAGGAATTAATTTATATTTTTTTAATATATTAATTTCATTTCAGATACACAGTATTTTTGTATGAAGTATTTTCATGCAAAAATTTTGAACTGTTAAAGTCTCAAAAGCTACTAATCCAAAGGAATGATTTGAGCCTTCTTCATTTCTTATATGTATTTACTGGAACCATACCACAAATAATTTTACAGACTCATGGAATAGTTGTATTAAATGAAAATTATTACACAAAAGGTAACCCATTTTTTATTATTTTCTAGCTAATTTTTATAGTAAAATTTGGTGGTTAATTTAATGTTTTACAATGGGTGGTGGCTTCTACATTTCTGTATAATCATTATTTCATATTTTTATTGATAAACCATTAAATGAAATATATTATATGAAAAAACTGCATTGGAGTTTTGAGAAAAATAATTTTGGACTTCACTTAAAATTTACCTTTGTAAATCTCTTTTCTAGTATTTTCGCTAACTGCTTCAATTGCATCAGTTAGTTGGGCCTGTGTTACATACATATACAGTACAATGTGGATATCTTCAGACCAAATTAACTGGTTAGCACTATTGCTAAAACTTTTGTGGTACTTTGGTACACTTATTGGAAGAATTTCGGCACTGTTTTTGTTCAGCATCATATTTGGAGTTTGGACGTTAATTCCTTTGGGTATGATTTTTTTATTTAATTGGTACATTATACGTATTAACAAGGTTTACACATAATAGTTATAGATATAAGAGTGAGCGAGTGATAGCCCTCCTTAAAGAATCTGAAAAGCATTTTTTTAATAATTAATTTAGAAAAAAATTCTATCACAAACATTGAAATTTTTTGAAAAATTTCAAAGACTACGTTGAAATGTTTACTTTATACAACTCCTAGTGTTCCGATCCCAGAGGATCCAGAGACCGGCAAAGGGCTGCTTAGTAGACCTCTGCTGACAGTCGACTGGTGGCGCCCTAGAACCTATATTATCACCTATATATATATTTTTTTTTTGACAATTCCGAGAAGAAAAAGTATAAAATTATGTACTTTGTCTCTTATCATCTATCATTGTAATGGTGTTGAAGAAGAAACTCTTGTTCCAGGCTTACACTGGTCTGCAATGACTTTTTGGATAATAACCCAAAAAACAACATTCTGCCCAAACAAATTCGAAGAGACACTTTACAATGCTGTAATGGGCTTTGTGTATTGTTTCTGTTTTATTAATATAAAGGAAGGCAAAACGCGATATCGTTTACTGCTTTTTTATACGCTCATGGTTACTCAGAATCTGGGAAGTGTGCTACTCTATATGCTGCTAAGTGAAAAGCAAAGACATCCTTGGTCTATTGCATCTACGAGCTTAGTAGTTGTGGGAACTCTAGCAGGTAATAAAGCTTTATTAATTGTATTTAAAAAAATATACTTGGTATAAAAAGTAATCTTAGCGCAAACATCTCGGAAATTTTTCACGGCGCTACGTGGTCGTATTTGGAACTAAATGGTAGCACAACTAAGTAATGTCGTATAATAACAATAAATTGACGAGTACGAGTATTTGACAAAACTATCCATATAAGTTCATGGTACCCTTATTGGGCACATTCATTATACATTAAACGAGATAGAGCAATGTTGGCTTGAGCGTAAGACCATCCATGAGGTCGTAGGTTCGAACCCCAGCTGTGTACCAATGGAACTTCTATGTGCGCATTATACTCGCAAGTACGGTGAAGGAAATCATCATGAGGAAACCGGCATGCCGCATACCCAAAAATTTAACGGTGACGGCACAGAAGACTGATCACCTACTTGTCTATTAGAAAAAAGAAATGATCACGAAATATATACAGAAATCTGAGGCCAAGGCCCCAAGGGTTGTAGCGCCATTTGATTGTTTTTAATATAAACAATTAAAATATCGTCATAGTCGTAGAATAGTGACGGATCTAACAAATAGTAAACTTTACAGAGCAGCCATTTCAAAATAATAAACTTAATCATGTTATTTTTTGTCATAACTATTTTAATTCATATTCTGTTATTATGAAAATTGGAATACAAGCAAACAAAAGGGTTTGTTTTGAAACAAAATAAAAATTAACATTTAATAACACAGTTTTCTAGAAAAATCACATGTTTCTATCGAATCCGTCACTTTACCGACTGATTAATTTGAAATTTAAAACACATGGATTTTTTTTAAATGTAGCCGAAATATTTAGTCGATTTAGTATCCAAATATGTTCAAAAGTAGAATTTGTTTTTTTTTTTCAAATCCGACATTGTTCTACGATCATGACGATATAATATAACATACAAACAAGGAGTTAAAACATTAAAATAGATGAAATATCTTTAATCTTGTTTTGTATCTTTTAGTTACTTAATAATTCGGGTATTTTTTTTTTGTTTATTCCTTTAATTGCGTGGTAGGTTTATTACTTAGATTTTTATTAGAAAGCGAACAGTCTCTATGAGGTAGCAAAATGTTGTTGGTACTAAAAACGTAGGCTTAGTAGAAATATCATGTTAAGGCGAAACGAACTTCGCGGGAGCAGCTAGATATTTATAAATTCAAGATTTTTATACTACTACAATTTAATTAATAATCATTTGCAGGTATAGGTGCAATGGTGATATATTACAGATATTATCATGCGAATGGTCCGATTCCCTGGCGATACATTCACGAAGATGTCGAATTAAATAATAAAGTTATCAATGATGCCAAGAATTCGAATGAAATAAAGGGTGGCCTAAATAATTTGAGATCGTTCAAAAATTCTAATATTACCAAGGAAGCAAACGTGGAGATGGAACATAGGTAATTATTTTTAAAATTAATCATTTAAAAAAAAGCTATAACAACTTGGTCTCTTCTTCTTTCTTCTTTTGGTGCCTCTCTTACTAGAGGTTGGTTGTTACCCTCCCTAACGTTACAAAGATATGAGGTTTCCTTCTACCACCAAGTCCCTTGACTCTAGATTTTACCTATTATAATTAATTGTCTTGTCGCAACACGGCCTATCCTGTTCCAAAAGGCTCCCATCAGCAACAAAAAAAATCAAATTATTACTTCTTATAGCAGCATAAAAGACTTAAAAATAAATATTCATCTTTTTTGTAGAAAAGATACAAACACCACACTCCCAGTTCAACAGACGGAAAATGAAAACGCAGATAAAAAGTTCCTTTTGGATCACTGGATAGCAAGAGCTGGATCTCCAACTTTCACTTCAGCTCCAGTAGGAAATATAAGTATGGATGTCTCAAGTATTGAATTATACACTGTAGAAAATACTCCACAGACTATAATTCCTAAACGCGACAGTCTTATAATAAAACCCAAAAAGAAGATTTGTTCGCCAACCGAGCTTACTTTAAAGCTTTCTTCGATTGACAATATAGAAAGCTCTATCGACGAAATAACGTCTAATGCACTTATACAAAAACGTCGAGGAATTTGCTCTTCTGACGAACTAAGAGATGATTATAATCTTGGAACTTCTATGGTTCAAGAGTTTTCTAAGGCAAAAACTGATCGAAGTTCCGAGTTAAGTCACGACACAGATGGATCTAATAAAAAAACTTCATCAGATTCCATTGATATGGATCTCGATCTGAGCTTCAGTGATATAAACAGCTCCGATATTAACACATTTAATGAGAATATCGTCCAAAAACTGTGTTTGAGCGCATTAAAAAACATTAAAGTCGGAAACCAAGATGCAGATATAGAGAACATTCAACGAATAGCGTTGGATATTCTAAAAGAAATGTATACAAAGAAAGACAGAAAGAAAAATGGTATCACCGGTCTCTTTCATGTTAAACGCGATCTTGATACACCGACAGAAGTTCTATCAGTTCATGATTATGAAAATATTTGTGCTGTTAATATAGCAAGAGAAGCTTGGGGACTGCGTTCGTGGAACGGGTACTGTGATATTGAAAATTGGATGCATGACGGCAGCGTTGTAAGAGATAGAAGTCGAGATTTCACTTCAGAAAGTTCAGAGATTAGCAGCTGTCTTTCCCAAGAATTAAAAAATGCTATTTTGTCGGCACCTCCTTTTCCGAGAAAACCGCACACTTATTCCAACGTATTTGTTAAGGTCGACAGAAATCCTGACGATTATGCGAATACTATAATGTGTCAGACAGATGATATTGTTAAGTCGTATATAATAGACAATTGTAAGGATCCTAATCATCTGGAGCCAATAATAGAGGAATTAGATGATTTAGGCGATATTGACCCGTCTATTAAAAAGCGCTTGAATTCGGAAAGTTCTCTCGTAGCGACAATAGACGAAATAAGAAAGGCAACAGTGACGAATTCGCCTAGGAACTTATATCATAGAAGAGAGCATACATGGGAATCTCCACAGTTTAGTTATAATCAAAGTGAAAATACTCTTCAAAAGGCTCTCTGGAAAGAGCCGTCCAAATTCGACGCTTGTAATATACTGGAATCTTTAACAGAAAAAGAGTTAGAATTAGACACTTGTCACGTAGTTAGGTTAGACACACAGGCAAAAGAGCTCAGCCTTTCGGATAGTTCATACCTTAATAACTCAAGTTATAGCAATAATACTCCAAGAAGAAAATCAAGTTATTCTCAAAGAAGTCATAAAAACCAAGATCATGATATTTCTAGCAAAAATATTGATCTACTCTGGCAATTGGTTTCGGAGAATACTTCGCCTACGTACAACAATGAAACCTTTTCTCTAAGTACGAAAACTCCTTCGTTGCAATCGTTAATTCAAAACGATTCAAATTCCGTTAAAACATCTTTGCCTAAAAGTAACGTTAAGAGGAGTTCAAGAAATAAGCCCAGAAGGAAATTTTCAATTCTACGAGAGAAGTTTGAACCTAAAATTCATTCTGACGAAGAAAACTTGTGCCGCTCCGATAACAGTTTATCGAAGCTCAACGTCAACACGGTCATGAGTCAAAAAGATACTAATATTGATTGTTTCCAAAAGTCTATAGACTGCCTCACTTCATCAGCTGATGAATTACATGCTGCAACAAAACAAATGAAGGAAAAGCGCTCAATTTTTATGAAGCAAGTATTAAGTCCGCCAAAATTTAATACAAAATTACGCCACAAAATGTAGAATTATTGATAGCCGATCACTCCGATGCCTGCGATCGATCCGATATGCAGAGATACTGCATGAGAGCCAGTGAAAGATAATTGGTGTAGTATCTAAAGCAGTGTTGGCCTACTGGCTTCAGCGTGCGACTCGCATCCCTGAGATCGTAGTTTCGATCCCCGCACGCACCAATGGACCTTCTGTGTGCATTTTACATTCACTTGAACGGTGAAGAAAAACATCGTGAGAAAACCGGCTTGCCTTGGACCCAAAAAGTCGGCGTGTGTCAGGCACAGAAGGCTGATCACCTACTTGCCTATTAGATTGACAAATGAAAATGAAATAGATGCAGAAAACTGAGGCCTAGACCTAAAAAAGTTGTAGCCGCAACTGATTTATTGATTTTATCTAAAGCGGACTTTCGTACTTATTAAGTCGCAATATCCCCCAATGGGACATGGGACTGTAGAAATGTACTTCTGAGTCTGTTTCGTTAATAATTTATAGGCAGCTTAGTGAGATTATGAATCCTTAAATAATTTCCTCAGGAGCAACTACGGAGGTTTGTATATTTGGATACAATGGTAAGGTTAGGAGTACTTCCATCATATTAAGAAAAATAACAATCATAAGTCATTTAGAACTCGGATCTCAGCATAAATTTAGTCAATGTATAAGTTTAGGCGCCGTTACCTCGAATGTAATTAAGTAACCACTGATTTTTAGACGCTAGTTATCTTGCCTTTTAGCTGTTAATTTGACTAGATTTGTTAAGTATTATACACATTTTACAGTGAAATGTGTCGAAAGTTTTATGTTCCATATAATTTAGGTTTTGGTATACTTTGGTATACCCATTCCAACGTGGTTGTGCATTTTTATACATATTTAAATATTAAGTTATGTACCGGTGCTAATTCAATTTGTAGATAGATCTTACAAGTTCACATTGTATGATTGAAAATTGACACCGACGCTTTTGAATGATTTTTCATTTAGTATGGACCCACTTAAGAGAAGTGCTATATATTAGGCTTTGGCCAACGTTTTTGTTAATTCACCTTTAGGACAACTAAAGTAAGATTTTGAGTCGATATTTGACGTATGTAAGCACTTAGTATGTCAAATCAAACTCTTTGACTTCCGGGACTCACACTGACCTTTAAATTCGGGTTGATATTAAAAAACGATCAATAATTTTTGACGTGTGGAAGTCCAACTTAGCGGTAAGTCTCATTTTTAAATTGTATCGCCTTATATAAATCTTATTGCACTCTTAACTAAAGTACTCGGTCGTCTCTTTTTGTTAAATTGTATATACGTTGTGATAAAAAGAGACAGATAGTAGCAAAAGCCTAAGTATCGACTACAAAATCCCTTAATTCTCAGAGTTATTTTTGTAAGTTTGCGTCCTTATAGTGAAAGCTACATTCCATATTTAAACGTGATATCGCTTCTGAATCATGGAGATTCAGCCCTCCAGTAGATATATATAAATTGATTGCTTCTTTACAAACATTTTATATTTAAGTAGGACCTAAGGTATTATTGTTGACGTATTGCAACACTGCTTATTAAATAATTGAGAAATGACTTATGCAATTAATATCATATTACTATAAATGTTTTGTAAACTGTGATGTAAGTGCCTTTATTTTTATATCATGATCTTCCGCCAGTATTGTCTTTGTAATAAATTTTTATACTTTTTTTGTGTTATTATTTTATACTAGGTAAATCAATTTAATGATAATTATTGTGTTTAATGCGTTTCAAAACCGTATATATTGGCCAGGCTTTCGTTTGACTAAATAAATATGATACGTAATTTCTGCCTAACAAAAATGTCTCAATCTTATGTAGATATATATTATCTATATTCAGTTTGGGATAGGTGAAAATCCCTATTTCTTCACTCATCTCGATTTGGGAAGTGATCTAGAATCTGGTCGCGTTTTATTTTAAAATTAGTTGAATAGACATACTGTTTTGATTATTTTTTGTACTTACGTTTACCAGTGTCATTCTTACCTGATCCCTGACACATCGAATTGATAGCCTCCTCCTTCGGCTTTTTGAAGATGCTTAGCAATAAACTTAAAAAAGATAGGTTTTTTGGTTAATACTTAATACGAATTATCATAAATTAAAACTTATTTATACTCAATCATCTAAATGCAAAAGGTTGAGTCACAAAATGTGTTATTTTGTAACTATACGTTGCATGGATTGAATATTTTTACATCACAACACAGAATAAAGCGAAGCGAAAACGCAAGATATTTTTTATTAGAGTTGTGTCATACGTGAAAAGCGGCGGCCGGCGAACTTGATGAAATAAATAGTTTTATTAGATTTTAAATAAAAGAACCATTTAATCAAAATCTTATATTGATTGCAAAAATACCTATGGCTTAGGTAAAGCACAAAAATAGTTTCAAAAGTTATATAAAAATATATGCTTATCAAAAATTTTAAATGCTTTCACAATTTTGGCACTTTTCTTATCTATCACATACAATTTCCAATATTGTTCTTATAAAAAAACACAATATAAAAAAATACATACAAAATGTATTGTATTAAAAATATTTATAGTTAATAAAATCAAATAAATTATGACTAAGCCATCTTAGCTGCCTTAGTTTACAATGTTGGCAAAGAATGACAATTATTAATTTTCCTTATTCTAAGTAATTTTCACCTACAATAGACACCCACATTGTACGTAAATAAAAATTTATAAATCAGTTGTCATAACATTAGTTAGAAGACGGATTCTGTGAGCATTACATGCTTTGCATAAAATATGACCATCTAAAGGGTAGCAACCTCTGCCTTCAGCTTCCGAAGACAAACGAAGACCACAATCTTCACAATTGTAACAGACAACATGAAAATTACGATCCAGCGCCACTACACGAACAGTTTCTTCTTCACCTTTGTCAGGCATAATTGGTTGCTCGCAGACACAACAACGAGGAGCAAATTTCTTATGAAAATCTTCAATGCAATGAATTTGATTCATAGCATCTACAGTGAATGGTATACCATCAAGTCTTTTCTGACAAACCACACAGGTGAAGCAAGTAGGATGATATGGTTTTCCAGTTGCTCTAAGTATCCTATCCAATATAGGCTCATCACAAACAGAACACTTCTCTAATGTTTGATAATAGTCAGTTTCACAAAAAGGTTGACCTTCAACTGCATAAAATGGCTTTCCCTGCAAATTTGTATTGCAGCATTCACAACAGAAACATTCAACATGGTACATATTACCCATAGCTTTACAACCTGAACTTTCCCCAACAACCCTCTGATTGCATTTAACACATGTTCCAAATACATCCAAATCTTGGCTGTCAGATATGGATTGGACGAGAAGATCAGTTAAAGCATCAACTTCTTGCTCCTTTGGTAGGGGTGATTTTCCTCCAACTACATTGTGCTTGAAGTTTGATTCATTAATGGCTGGCTTACTACTTAATGTACTTATCGGCTCATACAGTGACTCATAGGTGGAAGCTTGAGATGCATTATATTCAGGATACTCATTTTGATAAATATGAGGATATTGCCTATCTTGATTAAAATTGATGTTAGCTGTAGCTCTAGCCAATTCACTGTAATTAGAACTGACTGGTGATGGCGGGGGCAAATATTCCTCATTGTGATTAGGATCAAATCTTTTAGGTGGAGTTAAATGAACAGGTGGGGGTGGTGGAGGTGGAGGAGGATTTGCACTTTGATATGGTGGTGTATTACTATAAGTTGGATTGTAAACATTTGAGGGCAAAGGGACATTATTTTTGAACGAAACATTAGGTAAAGTAAGCGGTGTTAGATTGGCATAATCTGTGTGTGGCATGTGAATACTGCTGGCATGTCGCATTACGTTATATGATGGCGGCGGCGGCGGCGGTGGTGGTGGTGGCAGAGGGACATTGCTGTTTAGAGAAGAAATATTTAAGGAGAACGATGGCTCACAATAACTATTGACCGAGGCACTGTGAGGAACTTGAGGTTGACCCTTTTTCTTTGGAGGCACAGCTGGTGGCACTTTCTTTATACGTCCAGAATGCAATTCCTTAGTCATTTGTAATTCGGCTAATTGTTTCTCTAATGCTTCCATATTGTCCAGACGCGACATTGTTAAAATTTGCACAATAAACGTTGAATCACTTTCTACTTATATATGGCAGTGTTAATCAATCTGATATCATCATTGATTATATTTTGTAACGATGTGGATGTGGATTACTAAATAGCTAATAAGTAAATGACGCATTACTTGACGATTATGAAGAATTAATTTCTAAATTTTAATTCATTAAATTTTTAATGCTCACCAGAAATTATAAAATCCGAAAACTTAAAATGACAATTGACTATTGTACAATATAATGTATTAACATAGTGAACAGTGGACACACCACAAACTATATTATGAAATATGAATAGTATAATAATCAAACATTAATAATTTTCGGGGATCACTTATTTATTATGATATTTTAAAGGAAAAAAATTATGTCTCATATATTAATATATTAAGATTGGAGTGTGTTGATAAATCATAAATGTTGAGAGGCCTGAGGCAGGCTTAAGACCATAGTCCATACTTCATAAGTATTAAGTTCGTAACTTCATACTTTATAGTTCATACTTCATAGACTCTGACTGTTTAAGGTTTTTATAAATATTGTTGTTTCAAAGTGTTTAAACTGATCTTCGTATTTACTATTTATTCGTTATCAATATATGGTCATTAATATATAATTGGTATTTGTCTATTAATTATATATTTTATAAAGTTAAAATGGAGCCAAACCTTATAACTAACAATTATTTTACAAGTTACGAAGATTTAGAGGTTAGATATTCTCATATTCATTTAGTATAAATCACTAATTACACGCTTTTAAAGAATACAATTTCACTTAAAGAGATAATAGCGTACTATTTAAAACTGCGTTTTTCATTGTAAAATATAAAATCCCTATAACAAACTATCGGATTTGCTCCTGTGGCTTAGTAAATCATGGAATATAAGCCCGCAACTCAGAGTTTTTCCACAAACAATAATTGTTGTTACAATGCACAGATGTAAGTGTCACTATATATGTATTCAATTTTATATACAAAACTTTCTTTATTAGATTCACAGATTAATGTTGGAAGATGACCCACGCACATCTACATACCGCAAAGTGATACTTAACAATAAGGCCTATTTCAAAGATAAAATAGTCATGGATATAGGATGTGGAACTGGCATCTTGTCTATATTCTGCGCTCAAGCTGGTGCAAAAAAAGTATATGCAGTTGAAGCTAGTAATTTGGCTAACTTAGCAAGAGAAATTGTAAAAGAAAATAAATTTGAAGAAATTATTGAGGTATTTCTAGGCCATTGTATATCTTTACTAATACTTGTTAAAAATTTGTTAGTCACAATAATTATTCTGTACATGTGTACAGTTTTATATAAATATATACTATAGTTATAGGATAGACAGGAAATAAGCATTTAACTTCAAACACACACACTAACACTTTATCATGTTTTTATTCTTCTACTCAGGTAATTCATTGTAAAGTTGAAGATGTAGTATTACCAGATAACATTAAGGTAGATGCTATAGTATCAGAGTGGATGGGATTCTATTTGCTTCATGAAGGAATGCTTGATTCTGTGGTAGTAGCCAGGGACAAGTTTCTGAAAGAAGATGGGGAAATGTTTCCACAAAATGCAGTTATTTATGTAGCACCATGTAGGTGAGACCAAACCTTGATCTACTATAAAAAAATATTTTTTTATAGACTGATGTAATTGACACAACTTTTTTTGTAGTTGATGATGCTTAAAGCATGTATTTCTTGTTTGATTTTAGGCATCTAATTCATTGCTCACACTTTTTATACTAATTGTTAAATGTTTAATTCAAAAATATATTTATCAGTGTACCATCATTATATGAAAAATGGGACAATTTTTATGGGGTGTCCATGTCATCATTTTCAAAGCATTTACGGTCAGATAAAAGCCACAAGCCAGAAGTCATGCATATTAAAAGTGAAGACTTATTAGGAGAGGAAGTTGCTCTGAATTGGATAAATTTAAGAGATTGCACTGTTGAGGAATTGAACTCTTATTCTGTGCAACATGTTGTAGGTGTGTAATTTAATAATACAAGTACCTGAAGGTACTATACCCAACATTTATCAAATTTTCTAGAAAAGTGAAAAATAAAAAAAAGCAAGTTGAATTTTATTACAATTAGACTTCTCATAATCAACATTTTTCAAAATACTAAACCATTGAATGTCCAAATTCTTATTTATTTATATTAACTTTCTTATATATTTTAAATTACAAGTATTTACATATTATATAGTACCCATCTGGTTCATGATTTATTTTTCAATAATATTATTAAATCTTTACTTGCAGGAGCGAATAAAAGTGGCCGTTACCAAGGACTATGTATTTGGTTTGAATGCATATTTCCTGAACTGACAACTGAACAACTGACAGTGCTAAATACGGGGCCAGCGGGTGAACCAACACATTGGAAACAAACTGTTATTTTGTTGCCTGAAGAACAAGTAGTAGAAGAAAAAGAACCAATTGCCTTTAAATTAGATATGAATAGAGATGGAGAGAATTCCAGAAGGTACATTTAAGTACTATTTATATATAAATAAATATATTAATTTGAAAAAAAATCTGTATGTTATAAGCTCAAAAATCATGGGGAATGGTTTTTTGTATGGTTTTACATAGATAGGGATATAATTATTAGTGCACAGCTGTAATTTAAATACACATCCAGAGTTAAAAGGGACATCATCATGCAATATTAATTTTATAAGTTATATTGTAGGTACAATCTACAGTTAAGTTTATTGGACCCTGAGGAAATTGAACATCCAATGCCATGTACATGTGATATGACAAAATGCATACTCATCAGTGCTGTGATGAAGCAGCAAATGGAACATGCTGCACTAAATAATTGTGTACTAGAAGAGGAACCTATTGATGATGAATAAAATATGTTTAAAATTAATAAATAAGTTAATAAAAATGTGTTTGATTGACTTTGACTCTGAAAACCTATTTTGTTTAGGAAGACGATATAAGAAAACTAAAAACCAAAATATTTTTTCTTTACACCCATAATGTTTTATCGTCCATTTTTTAATAAATAATATAGGCGTAATTTCTTAAACTCTTTTTCTAAATTTAGGTGGAAATGCGTTTGCGCATGTCCGCAATAAAAGCGATGGGTATGTGGGACTCGACTCACTCCACTCCAAAACCGCGTGAACTATATATATCCACTAAAACTAACTTGCGTTGAACCAACAAAATCGCATCAAAGGCCCTCGAGGTCGATTTCGCGTTCTACCTCAACATTTTAGCAATGTGGAGTTAACAGTCTGGACACTCGCAGATGACAGTCGAAAGACGAACCTTCTCGATCTCTCCCTTCCCCTTCCACTTCAAAGAGATCTTATCCTGCGCTCTCTGTAGCATTTGTTAACAGTAGGATGAGACTTTACCCTGCTATCGGATACGTTCAGTAAAACGGTTGCCCCCCGTACTTTATAATAAAGTATTGTACCCTATAGTGTACTCTATACTTCATTAGAACAATAAAGTACACGAAAATACTTTGTTTAGCATGATGTGATTTGTTTGTTCATAAAATATATTTTTCGTGAAACGGAATTTATCGATTGGCGCTGAATCGATGTTTTAATATAGTTTGTAAAGATGCTGTGCAATTGTTAAGTCGAGACAATAATTTAATACAAACTGCAAAAAGCGATAAAAAATAAATTTTTAAATATTGTATGTATAAAGAAAAATAAATTCTTCTTTACTTTGATAGTGTACTTTTTTATTATAACCAATGTACTTTAATTGCAAAAAAATAGGTGGCAACTGAATAACTCTGATAGGTCATAGGAGGCAAATAAAAAGTTTGAGATTCTCGTTATATTTTTTAATATCGAAGCATATTTGTAACTGATTGAGTGAGCTGAGCTTCAGCACTGAGCCACCGGTTATAGTCTAGACGCATTAACAGCCTAGCTAAGTATACACCGCACGGCTTTTCTCGCAGAGATACCAGAAGTTGCATCAATTGTTTCACAAGTTTGTTAAACCTGAAATGTAACATCATAAATTGTTGCATTAATTGATAGGAAAGTAGGTGTACCAACCCTTAAAAAGTTATTGCTCTATTAATCAAATCAGGGGCGTTTTAATTCTCGTAATTTGTTGAGATTTTTTATGTTACGTTGGCCTAGTGGCTTCAGCGTGCGACTCTCATCCCTGGGGTCGTAGGTTCGATCTCCGACTACACCAATGGACTTTCTTTGTGCACATTTAACATTCAGAACAGTGAAAGAAAACATCGTGAGGAAATCGGCTTGCCTTGGACCCAGTCGACGGCACAGGAAGCTGATCACCTATTTACATATAAAATTGACAAATGATCATGAAGCAGGTACAGAAATCTGGCCCAGACCTAAAAGGTTGTAGCGCCACTGATTTTTTATTATTTTTTATAAACCAACCATTATTTCGTAACGTAATATGTACTTGCACGCTCGCTCATGACTATGCGTTAAGCTTTCTCTCATGGTCTTTATATTATTGTTAATCATATAAAAGCTGTGAACCGATATTTTAGTAATAGTAGAATTTATCGAACTATATTTTAAAAACCGCGTTTTCAAAAGAAAGAACGAAACTTCTTAAGGTAACTCAGAGTTTAGCTTTAGGTTAATAATAATAACGCACTAAAATTATAAATTAACTCGACGCAATGAGAAACAAACATTCAATTAATTTACCTTTCCGAATATCCTCGTATATAATAATCTTCATCGTCAGCATCTGTGGTTACCTCGCTGAGGTTACAAAAGGAATGGCCAAGTCGTAATAACTCTACTATATTATTTAAAACTGGGTTATTTATACTGTCTAATGTATCAGAGCCCTCTGTGTCTTCTGCCTGTAATTCCAATATTTTATACTTGATATTAATCTATGAATTTTTACAATATTGTTTTTTTTATTAGTGATTACATTTGTAAACGTAAATAAATAAACATTTGTATATAACTTGAGCAGCGTTCCGTATCCTATAACGTTCGTTTTTGTAGAAGATTATTAGGAATACTTAAAACTGTAAAGTATATCAGGGCCACAACACGTGAGCGTGAATCTAACGGAATTCGTGTAGTTAAAAAGTTTGATAAGAAATTGATGGCTTCGTGCTGTCAAAGCCTGGCGTATAAGAATACTTAAATAAACTATGGTAGGTACAATTTTTTTTTCGCCCATGGCGCTGGCTTTAGTCTTTCGAGCATACCGCCTAGTCTTTCGTAGGATTTTTCCTTTAATTATATATTAGGTTCATTTATATCTATGATTTAATAAAATACTTGAGGTAAAAGCTATACCTAATGCATGGGCAGAGTCAGATATAATCCTTTTATATAAAAAAGGTGATCCTACAGACATTGGTAACTATAGACCGATAAGCTTACAACCAAATCTCTACAAATTATTTGCTTCATGCATAGAGAGCAAAATCTCCACGCATATACAGGATTTTCAGCCCACAGAACAAGCTGGTTTCAGACGAGGATTTTCAACAATTGATCATATTTATGTTGTGGATCAAATTATTGAGAAGTATAAAGAAAAAAAGAGACCACTATATCTGGCATTTATAGATTACGCAAAAGCTTTCGATTCCATCTCTCACAACAGTATGTGGAATGCCCTCCACGAATGTAAGGTACCATCAGGAGTGATTGAACTAGTTAAGGATATATACTCAAAAAGTGTAAGCCGAATCAAACTAGAAAAAAGGGGACCCAAAATACCCATTAAAAGAGGGGTTAGACAAGGTGACCCACTTTCTCCTGCCATATTTATAACAGTACTTCAAAGCATAATGCAAAAGCTTAATTGGACACATAAAGGTATAATTATTGATGGTAAGAACTTAAACAACTTAAGATTCGCTAATGACATCGTTTTATTCTCAGAAACATCACTACAATTAGAGGAAATGATAAACGAACTCTGTTCTATTAGCCGAGCAATAGGATTGGAATTAAACAAAAACAAAACAAAAATAATGACAAATCACGTACAAGATCCTGTCCAAATTAATGGATACCCCTTAGAATACGTGCAACAATACATATATTTGGGTAAGGAAATATCTTTTAAAAATTCACGGCATCATGACGAAGTTGATAGGAGAACTAGGATGTCATGGAACAAATTCTGGGGATACAAAGAACTACTGAAGGCAGAGATACCAATATACTTAAAAAAGAAAGTCTTAGACGCGTGTATATTGCCATGTCTCTCTTACGGTTGCCAATCATGGATATATGACTCGAACACAAATAGAAAAATAACAACTTGTCAACGAGGAATGGAACGCAGTATACTCAATTTAAAACTGAAGGACAAGATCAGAAGTACACAAATAAGAAACAAAACAAAGGTTATTGATGCACTGTCCTATTGCAAAAAACTTAAGTGCCATACCGCTCGAATGAATAATGGCAGATGGACAAAAAGGGTAACAAAGTGGAAAGGGCCACCAGGAAAAAGAAAGCGTGGTCGCCCTCTTGCACGGTGGGCCGACGAGCTTAAGAAAGTTGGTGGAGAGGATTGGGAGAAAAATGCTCAAAACAGAGAGAGATGGAGTCAACTGGAGGAGGCCTATACTCAATAAGAGGTCCTTGGAAAAACAAAATGTATATATATATATATATGTATGTATTTTATGTGTGTGTGTGTATATTTTGTAACTTTTTGTAAATATTATTATGTAAATTTTTCAAGGAATAAATGAGGCTTAATTATTATTATTATTATTATATCTATGATAGGTACAAATCAAGTGTCCTGCGACTTTTTTTAATTATATAACAGGGGGCAGGAGGCTCACATGATGTTAAGTGATACCGCCCACAGACACGCACATTCCCAGAGGGCTCGCAGTGCGTTGCCTTTTCATAATTCGTACGCTCTTTTCTTGAAGGACCTTAAGGCAAATTGGTTCGGAAATACTTCAGTGGGCTGGTTTGACAGTGATGGTGCGCGGCAAAAACTGCCTTAGAAAACGCTCAGTTGTGGAATGACGGACAACGAGGTGATACAGGTGAAATTCTTACCGTAACAGTCAAAAAAGATTGGCTCAATATATCGGCCAGGAAATTCGCGTGCGCCTTCTTAAGCTTCTCGAAATCGTTGGTTTTGCTGACAGCGTCCATTAAACGTGAGAAATTCGTTTCCAAGACATCCGCTTGGAGATAATGTTGAAGGTTATCCATTAAAAACATTAATTTGTTATGAAGCTGACATGAGCTGAACCTGAAATCAGACATTTATTTATTTATGTATTAAGGAAATTAACAGATACATCTCTATTGGTCTAAGATCCCGCTGCAGGATTGGTGCGCTCATCGACTATTTGTTTAAAACCAAATTTTTATGTTTATTTATAATTAAGAGAATACATATATATTTACTAGGGTGCCTATCAAAATTTGGCCGCCATTATTTTTAATTAAATTATTTTTAATTGATTTTTGGTAAAAAATTTCGTTCATTTATTATTTAAATAAAATAACGTCTACATCACGGTAATTAATATGAAGATTCTAAAAAATCACGGGTGCCGTTGCGCACATGGCCGCACCTCTTTGCAGCCAGGTGTAAACAGGTATGATTTCGATAAATTTATACGTTTATAACCTATTTTTATTAATTATATGTCAAATTGAAGCTAATTTTTTTCTATTAATTATCATATAAAGTTGCTTAATTAAATCTGGCCGCAAATAAGGGCTACTGGCTGTTAAAGATAATAAATATTTAAGGTAGAGTGAAAGAGAGTTAGCGCGTAACATCATTTGTCAGACGAGGACAGTGATTGTCGGCTGTGCGACGCTTTTAAGCCATTGCGCATGCGTCGAACGTTAGTGTTCTCAACCACCGGGGAGTAATAGAGACGACTTATAATAAATACTCCAAAAAATATGTAATTTTTTCAAAATGACTAATTTAAAAATTGCAACAAATTCAGCCCAGAATGGCTGGCTGGTACTAGTAGTTTTTTAAAACCAATATGGTTCCTGGGAGACTCAACTCCAACGCAAGTTAATAGTGTGCTATGTGAATCCATGAACAAAGGGAGGTCGTATCGGTGTCTGTGGATAGACCTTTGTATGACAATGACAGTTGAAGAAAGCTCGATTTCAACAGATTTTAACTTACACCAGTTTTTTAAATATTTAAAAAAACTGTTTGTTATGTTTTAAACATACACACGTATATTTTAATGTTATTTGTACGGTTTTAATTACTTTATTTGGTTTACATTGATTATCAAATATGAGTGAAAACTCGGTAAAATGAAACGACAAAGAGGATTTTATCCGTCGCCAAAAATGGATTGTCTTCGTAGAGTTTGGTTATTGGGATGCCGATAGGAGATCGATTGACTGTCACGGCCTGATTTCAGATTGTTTTCAATCTGAGATTATGGATTGATTATTGGGTTCGGGGGTAAGAGTTTTAACTTATTCTTAAAGTGATTGATTTGACTGTGATTTGTGTGAAAATTTTGACACAAATCAGTAGTTAATAATAAAATTATATTAAGACAACTTACCGAGACGAATTTTTGTATGTTTTCCATAAAGCGTGTAGATCGTGCTGCGTTTTCTTGATGCGCAAGAGCAAGCGGAACATATCATTGTAGCGTGCTAGTACTTCCGGTGCGAATAACAAGTGTAGGGGCCATTTGAAATCGTACTTTAATATTATTGTAGACCAACCGTCCGCCGCTGTATAAAAATTTGTGACGCTTGAGAAAAACACTGTCTTCTCCAAAATATATATTTTATGAAGAAGACAAATACCTATAGTTATTATACTTTACTATATTTTTATGTATCATTTTAACATAAGAAAAATTTATTTTACGACAAACGTATTTTTTTTGAATCACCTAAAATTAAAAAAAAGGGAAATATACGTTCTACTTAATAAATCATACAAAGGATCAAATTTGAGATTTGAGAATTGAGATTGTCTTTGGGCGGCGGTATCACTTAACATCTAATGAGCCTGCTGTTTGCCCCCTCTTCTATAAAAAAATGAAAACTATAATCCAAAAAAAGGTGATTCGACCTCACAATGTCGTAGAATTTTAAACAAACATCAAAACTTCTAGCTTTTAAACTATTTTTAAAAAGTAACTAAACCTTTATTGATCAAAGATATATACTTGATGTGCTCAAAGTGTAAATTTCCGTTTTTAGTCGGTTGAATTTTTTAAATACCTGAGCTGCTGTCTTCCTGGAGCGACAAATTATCAGATGCATTAGGCTTGACGTAGGGCAATTCGAAGCTGAACTTCTCAATATCAGCACTGTTGCTTAGGAATACTGATCTGGCCGCTAATTGAAATGCTTGGTTCATATCTACAAATAGGATGAATTAATATAACTCCAATCAAAATCCAAATATCATAGAATCAAACTGGCAATACTCTTCGTCAGTCTTTTAAATCGCCAAGGATTTTTTTTACAAAATGTTTGAAAGCAACAGCAACTATTATTACAACTAATCTTTATTAGAGACTGAACCTACACAAAGTGCTATTGTTAATTCTGATGAGGCTTTTAAACATTCAAATTATATACAGTATAATCTCACTAATTCGGCACTTCGATAGATCGGCACTTCGATAGATCGGCACTTCCAATAATCCGGCACCCTCCGCCCACGCCTCCCTCACCCCTCTGTGCGCTTCGGTCGCTGCGTCGTCGACTAGCAGTCTAACCTCAAAACGTATCACGTGCACGTGCTAACGTATTTATTTTTTTCAAGTGAGAATAGGTTATACTTAAAAATGTCGAATAAACGCAAACACAAGACACTAGATTTGTTTATTTTATTAATTACCTATGACTTTTTCACTATAATCGAGTAATCCGAACATTCCAATAATCCGGCACCCTCCGGTTTTTAATAGTGCCGGATTAGTGAGATTACACTATTCATAATATCAAGAACCCGCCAAAACGCTTCTCTGGGCAAGATGGCGTCGAAAGAGTTTCTATGACGATGGTACGTCAGCAGTCAACACGTTAATAAACGTCATGTGTCAATTATTATTTTGGAATTACACAAATACACATTTTCGATCAATTCAGTCTCTGTCTGTCAGTCTCAAAAGCTACGTCTGTTTGTCTATAGTTAAAGCCTAAATACATAACGAAATTAGTGGCATGAAATTTTAATTTCTTGACAAATTTAATAATGTAATTCCGGCTTTAAAGATGTTTTAACAATAGATATTTTGATAAATTTTAACAAGTTAGCGAAAGATTCTCTTAGTTAAACAAATTTTTTTAATTGTGTTTCTTCTGAACAATATATTACCTCTCGTAGATGTCCTGGTAGTGGGTTTGTCCAATAAACGTGAGGTCAAACGAAGTAGTTCCAAAAAGAGTTCCCCTCGGCCCAAGAGGTAGAAGTCTTTCATCAGATGCAACTCGTGAAGGAGTTGAGCTTCTTCCACTGCGACTATCCATAAATGCTGGAGGAATATTTATTTTATTTTATTGGGATATCCTGTTGGGTTTAAACTAAACCAAATAGGGTATAGGTCACGCACATTTTTGTGTCTGTTGACTGATTTGGTCTAATTAGAAAAATGTTATATAATGGAATAATAAGCATTCTTAAGAATTAATTTTGTGTAATAATAATGTTAGTCCGAGATTTGACTTGATTGGGTATTCTATAATAAATTATTATCTACTATAGTTCTTTATAAAATGAGTTTGAAAATGCTCTCAGTTGAAATATACCTAAAGTGGGCCATAGACGGACCGATAGTCGGTTTTGACTGCAACATGCGGTTTCCTCAGGAACTGCTCGAGCGGTCCGTGTATTGCGAATATGAATTTAGTATGGAAACTGCAGAATATTTAATAAAGAATATTTTTTTAATAAAACATTGTTCTCATAGACAACAACTATAAACTTACCTTAGTAACACATTCTTTTATGTCTCTCACAACAGACTTCAAATGGCACACTTCAAACTCATCGGGATTTTTAAGCTTTTGTAACTTTTCATGAAATTCCGCTTCTTTCTCTTCCCAAATTGTAAACCTGTGACATGAGATTCTATGGTCAATGTCAAAACAAAATTTTCCCCTCTAGTCTATAATCTATTCTAATTATTATTGTTTTTAAATTTGAATAAAATATACCAAATTAAAAATAGGATTCATTATTAGTGAAAGAAACATACTTTCAGTTAAAGTAAAAAAACTACTATAATTTATCCATATTTCTCGAGAGTTTTTACTTTGATTTTGCCATTTTTATTACGCTAAAATTAAATAGTTTTCAAGTACTAAATTTAAATGTATAGCGTTTTTGTCGAAAAAAAGGGAGGGAGGGAGAGCGATTGAGAGAGAGTGAGAAGGGCGAATTACCTAATAGAAATTCTATTTTTAAAATTAAAATTTCGTAAAGAGAATTTATGAAATATTAATATTTTTTATTTTATGCAAAATAATTTATTGAAATCTCAAATGTCGAATTGTAAATTAAAATGCCACATGTTTTTATTATCGAATAAATAAATTTATAATTTGTATTAATTTTCAACACTTCCTAAATTCCTAACATATCTTTTTCCCTCCCTCTAACGCCTTTAGTACACCTACGCGTTCGTATGCGGCTGCGAATCTTTGCGAAATAATTGCGGCAGCGAAATATCTGCGGAACGTTAGTACACTGCAGGTTTTTCGCAAGGATATGTCATTGTAGCTTTCGTGTGCTGTAGGTGCAGACGTCGTTTCAGAATGTCATCTGAGTCGTCCCAGTCGTCGCTTTCAGATTCTGAAGAGGATTTTGTAATCAACATGCCCAACTAAATATAATTCGGGATAATTTCGAATCAAATTCAATAATAATTCAATATTTTCGGCTTCCATTGTGCGAAATTCTGTCCTCACTGACAGAACTCGTGGTGACGCCTTGCGATGCGAAACTCCAGTAGCGGAACGTCTGCGTCTGTGTAACAGCCATTTCGCAGTTAGTTGCGAAACAATACCGACAAGGACGCAACTATTTCATCTAGCTATATATTAGAGCGAGACAAAACACATGCGAAACGTTGCCATACAACTTACAGTTTTTTCGTCGTTTCGCTGCCGCATGCGATTGCGTAGGTGTACTAAAGGCGTAAGTCTCGGAAATCGAAAGTTTTAGATTTGTATAAATATGAACAAGACTTAAAAATTAGTTTGCCAAAGAAGTTTCACTTAACTTGTGTACTTTGTATGCACGCACTTTTTTTTTACTTCTTAAATATACATTTTAGCAGGGTTTAAATCAAGGCATTAGCAAATACAAGTTATAATCTTTAATATTTATAAATAGAATCCAAGTCTTTTGTTTGAATTAATTAAAAGTTTTGTAAAATAAACATACCTTCTTGACTCAATGTTAATTTTTTGTAATGGTATCAAAGCTTTGCTCATAGAAAAAATATTATTCTTCTTTACTTTTTTTGGATCAAAACCAAATAGTATAACGGTTTTTCCCACAAACAATATCTCTTGTGCCAAAGACAATGGTATGAAATACGGTATCATTGTTGAGTTCAAATTATAACCACAATCCAGAGGTGTTTGCTGTAGCTGTAAGAATTTCAATATAAATCTACAATTCTTATTTAATTTTGGAAACTGTCACATGCCACAGGATGTAATAAAAATGAAATAAACAATACTTTTTAAATAAACTCTTCTATTCCAATGCAAAACCATTTAATCTAATTATTTTTTATACTTAGTTAGGGCATAGAAATGTGTAGCAATTACATTTATGTTTATACAAAGATATTTCACATAGTAATTATATGATTCAATGCGTAACAAAAATTTATTAAATGATTTTAAAAAATTGCAGGAAAGAGAGTAGAGTTAGCGAATAAACATTTAATAGTATATTTTTGTGTATATATATAGATAGAGGTCACTCTGTAACTAAAAGCCAGACGTTAAAAATAAATATTGATAAAATTTATATCTTACTGTTGACACTAGTGACTTCTCACAGGTAATTGTGGTTGATTGACATGATGAAAAAGTATCTGTTGAGTCATTCTTCTTTATACTATTAATGAAAAATTCTTCATAGGGATCTCTTAGCTCTCCATATAATAACCAAGTGCATAGTTGATTCATAAACACAGCATTGATATTTGAAAAAATTCTGAAAGAATTTGTTTCATACACACTTTGAAATTTTCAAACCTTCTAGGGTAACAAAAAAATTAAACAGTAAAAAGAATATATCAAAATGTCCCATACCAATTGAAAGTCAAATGATAATGTGTGGTATAACTTACTTAACGATAGCTTCATGTACCATTTCATTGCCACTCAAAATATATTGATGCAAGAGGCTTAAAATCTGACAACCAATAAGCCTTCTCTCCTTTAATGTTGAAATAATTCTGTTTATGGTATTAAATAGGCCTTGATATTTCTCAACATAGCTATATACAAACGCTAAAGTGTAATTTTTATTACCAATAACAAGACTTTCTACATCTTTAAGAGTTTTTTTATAAGACTGTAGAACTTCTGATATTCCCTCACTTAATGCTTGTCCATATAAACCAAACATTCTGTGTCCAGATGCTGAAAAATGTTTTCAGTTTTAACTAAAGATTATCAATTATTTACCCTGTCACTATGACTTAGGTTCTTACAAATAGCATACCACTGTTCTTATAACAGTGGTAGCCAGCAAACAATTGAGAGAATAGAAATAATCTACATTTAAAAGATTCGATTTAAACTGTATCAAAGAATACCTTCATGTGTTTTTCTTGATAAATATCCAGTACCAATTACAAAATTTTGGATCTTATGGTGACTATATGCAATTTTTGATATTTGTTTGTAAATGACAGCATCTCCTTCATTAGCGTAAGTAAGTGGTTCTTGCTAAAAGAAAAGTATTGAAAGATATCTAAGATTTACAGTATTGCTGCTGTAAGAATTTATCAAGCTATATATTTATCATTTAAAATATGATGTAAATAATTATATCAAATCTTTAACCTGGACTCCTTCCGATGTTTGGCAACAATCCCAAAGAATTAATAGAGCATCATGTATCATTTTTATAATATAATTTCAAATGGTATTCGAATGAACAAATATTAATAAAATTAAACTAAAGAAGACCTTTGTGATAATGCACATATATTGCAATAAAACCTGGAAACATTTGTTTGTTTTTAACCAAAAATAAAAGCTATTTATTGTTATTGCGTTTAAAACTTAACAACATTCAAATTTTTGAGTATTGGGTAGTGTAGTGGGTACAGCTGATTGAGCCAGCAACTATTTATACTGTCAATTGTCATCTTAACTGATAGATAATATACAGTTAACAGTAATTCACAGATTGAGTAACTTTTTTCTTTAAGAAAAAGAAACAGACATTTCTCGTATTTTACTAAAGACAGCAGATTCTGATGTAACCCTAAAAGAAAAGGCACTCGAGTATTGAATTAACATTTTTCAAATATAGTTGCCCCACCAGGGGCACACAACCACATGAATTTGTTAGGAAAAAATACATATTATGAAGAAGTATATTATGAAGATGTAATAAGTGGCGTATTATTGTGCAGTCACACACTATTTTTGCAGTCCTTAAAATTTATCAAAATAATTGTTTTTAAGTAGCATTAGCCGCGCTCTTTGTAGTAACTAGTCTATATTAATTTCAATGTGATGGTTATGTTATTTACCTTAACAATTTTTTCTTTTATTTCTTAAACACTTGACCTAAAACGTCGGTTAAAATAATTAGTTGTGTAAAGCAAGTGAACTTTTCAACGTGGCCTTAATAAGATATATTAAGCAATAACCATACATCTTCAAAGGACTTCGATTCTCATTGCTGCTGGAGACACGTAAAAATAAAAATATATTTTTTCAAAAAATCTATACAGGTCAGTCTTGGCTTCCCAGAAGGTAATCAATGGGTACGTACCAGTGTTGCTAACGACACCGGGACTGAAATCGCCATTTTTCACAGCATAAGTAGCCTAATGTAGCCGAATTTCAGAACAGTGTAGCCTAAAAACGAGCCGAAAAAAAAAATTGCAGTGTATATTTAATTTTAACTTTATTTATACTTATCCCAGAACACGCGGAATAAATATCTGTAGATCGCACAAACATATTTTTTTTCCGAGGCGGGAATCAAACCCGCAACCGCCACCGCCACCGAAAGGGTTCCTAGAGATTTCCTGCTTGCCTGATTGGAGCACAGGGCCGCCTCAGTAAAAAACATTAGTTCTTAAACTAACTTTTAACTGTTGGTATTTTTTCCCATTCTTCGCGATAATGCTTCACAAATTTGCCGTGTTTTCCCATGCTTTTTTCACAGAAATGATGGCTTTGAAATAACTTGTTAAATGCACTGGTTATGTTGAAGTTGAAGAACAAAGTGACATAGCGAACGAAACGAAAGGCACAAAACATTTTCCCAAATTTAGTCAGTATAATATTAGTAGCACTGTACAATGTACCTACCTATAATATTAGGTAGGTACATTGCATATTGCTTCCTCCTAAATTTGATAGTAATTTGATAAGTTTCATAATTTCTAAGACAAATTCTGGGTATTCCCCGCCCGGAAACTTACTACTTTAATATCTCATACAGATATTGGAGTGACTATGATTTTTAATAAAAGTAGTTCATTTGCGATTCATGACATGTCCTTGAAGTAGCCTAATAGGCGACCAGTCGCCTTTCAGATGTTTTCATCGCCAATTCTAGTCCTGAGTAGCGTAAATGGCGACAAATCACCTACCACACTGATGGGTACTTGTGTCGGCAAACCTGGCTCGTGAACACTTTTTTGTTGAAGTGTGTGCACATGGATGTCTGTGGCTGTGCGTGAATGGCAAATATACCTACTAATGTGTTGTGTCTACGCATGTATAAAATTTAAGCTAATGTAAGCCAATATTTGAAAATTTAGATGGAAAATCAAAATCAGCTAAATAATTTTCAGCTAAAGCTTTTAAAAAAAATAAGAAATTATATATTTTAAATTGGCTACTGTAATGTGGCTGTTATGTACGGGTTATTACTTAATTATTATACATTTAACAAAAAAAAAAAAATAATCCGCTTCTTTGGGGTTTGGGGTTAGTTTTGTTGGTTTCAAAATAAAATAACTATCATCACTAGACCATTTTATTAAATTAGAAAAATCATGACATAAATATGTGCGTTCATTAGTCGTTCACGTGATGAAATAAAATAGCTGCTCATAAAGAAATATATAAAAAAAAATGGTACGGCATCTCATGGACATTAATTAAGTACAATAAAATATATTCATGTGAAAAATTAAATGAATAAAAGCTGCCTATAAAACCGTTTAACGCTAAAAAGATCAATAAATGCAAATCACCTAAATTAGTAAACGGTTGAAAAAAATACATCCAAAGAAATGTTATCTCATAGCTCATTTCATTAATATTTCCCTATAGTTACAATTTGTTAACCTTACAGCTATGGTAATTAGACAAGTACAAAATGATATTTTACTCTTAAAAATATATATTCGTAACTTAAACTAGGTTCAGTTGTATAATTCACGACTATACGATAAAGTGTCTCATTCAAACAGTATTAAAAATCGATGCATTTATCATACAAAATTAAGTCGTAATATATCCGTTTTCCTAGAAGCACTTCAAATTAAATACAGTGCGTAACACTATACCAATACATTCTTCTATTCTAAATTTCACAAACACACAATTTCAGTGTTGGAAGAACTATGCTAAAGGCTAAAACGTTACGATATGTCGCATTTAAAATTCATGCACACAATGGCACATTAGCCAACATCATAAAAGTGTAAAATAGCATCGCCTTAATTTGTGTTCTAATAAACTTTAACTACTAATTAACCGCCTCACTCGTAGCCTAATTGCAGCGTTGTCCCTGAAGTACTCCTGTCACTTTTTAACCCCTTTCGACACAGTTTGACAGAAAGAGACGAAAAGTACTTTAGTTAAAAGGGCAATAAGACCGATTTATCTTTTATGAATGCGGGAAAATCTTTAATTACGCAGTAAATACAACGCCAAAGTTCCAAAATTCGTAGGCTTGTGCACAATTCCATTACGAGGTTATCCAACATTTTGTCGAAATAAATGCAAATTTCGGTAAATGCCGATCGAAGCAATAAATAAAATCGAGCTGCAATGTCGACTAGGTTTCTTACAAAAAAATTAATTTGGGGCGTTTATAGGTTTTAAGGGGGCACGTACGGTGGCGGTTTTCTGTACGTGGGGGTCGCTTTGGGCCTTGGGGGCGTTCTGGAAGCTGCGAAGGGCGGGGGCGGTCTGTAGGGCGCGTCCTCTCCCGACCTGTAGTCTGGGGCGGGCGGGAGCAAGGGCGGTTTCTCTTCGCGCATGATGACGGGACTCTTGTCGACAGGCTCAGTGTCAGTTCTCTCTTCCAACTCGTCTTGGAAGATGACTGGGATACCCTTTGACCGGAACGCCTGGCGCTCTTCTTCATCGCCAACGCTCATTTTTCCTACAAAATATATTAAAACCGGTTTAGTTATTTAGATGATATGTGAGTCGTAAATACTGAATAGCTACTTCTGGCTTATATTTACAACTCTAGGCTTTTCTAGAGAGCGCTTTTAAAAGGCATCATTATAGAAAGTCTAGGACTTTTAGGAATTCTGAATGGTATTTGGTAATTATACAATCTGAGTATTTATTTTTATATAGTGTTTTTATAAATACATAGTTTTCGAATAACTTGAAAAAAGGTTATTTTAACACTAGCCAATAAACAAAGCGTGTATCTGTGGAATTATTATTTTAATTAAATTAAAATGTGCACCAATAATTAATTTGTGCATTACATAGAATTTGTCACCTTTTTCTTGTCAAGAATTCGCATGACCTGATTGAAATTTCATTTATTATTAAATTTTATCATAATAATTGTAAAATTAATTTTGTGGCATACAAATTCTTATTCATTAAATTAATTAAATGTTACTTCAAAGCTTGTGAAAAATTTCAAGAATTTTGGGTCTTGATCAATTCATGGTTAAAATAAAAGTCTAAGTTTAAAGTATATCGTTAAACCAATTAACATTAAATGCGTCATTTGCATTGTATTTTTATTTTTAATTTAAATTATCTTACCGGTTCTCCGCCGTCGATACAAGACACAGGCGATGATTCCCGCCAGCAGAATCATACACACGATAACCACGGCCGGAATCACGAACGTCACCAAATAATCGGAGTACTCTGGACTTGCGTTTTGAGTTTTGCTATTCGCATTTCCGATTGGCGTCGAGGGCTTAATTATCTTCGTACTCTGCTCCGCACAAAGACCCAAAGGTATGAGCCGTATGGACATCACTTTAAGGTCTTTATCGAAGATCTGATCCACCTTCTCTTTGAGGTTTCCACCCATTGCCCCCCTTTCGTCAACGATTATAGAGTTGCGTAATTCTTCAATTTCTCGTTTGGGACACCTGTCCATTGGTAGGCTTGTGTTGTACCTGTAAATGACCACAAAGATTTACCCTCTATACAAAATATTTCAGTCTTATAATAGTCTAAAAACCCATTGTTCGAATTTGCTGTGGTTTTTGATAAAATTATTTTTATAGGTATGTATTAATAAGTAGCCTTTTTTAAATTAATTTTACGTAAAAATAATGTAAAAAAAACGTCAATAAATCGCCTCAATTTTTTTTTTAAATAATTCTATCAAGGTTCTGTTCCTATGGATTAAAGACAGCACTATATGAGGCGCTGGGCATTATAAAAGGATATAAAAACTCTTTGTATCATATTGTGATGAAAAAAAGATCACAGCTTAAGCTATGCAATAAAACTAATACCGATTCTATAAAAAGGCGCAGTAATTTCTCATTATCTCTCTTTTTTTTTCTAATTATCACGTCATAAAATTAGAACAATAATAATATGTAATGGTACAAATCCAAAAGAACGCGAAAAAAATAATAAATACCCATAAATCAAATAAAAATACCTTTCAATAAACCTCTTCTGTCTCATTACATTTTTAAATTAATTTTATACTGTGATGAGGGAGCGCCTTGTGCCGTCTAGCGGATTTTATACGAGATACAATATTATTACAGATATAGATATAAAAACTTTGACAATTGGCAACATTTTTCTTAAAAATTCTGGGAATTAAAATCCTTACCATATAATAGTTGGAGGATTATCAGTAATGCTTTGAATTCTGATGTTCTCCGTCTCCTTCTGGTCGAACAAAGCGCCCAACTTCTCCACGATCTTCCTCTTATTTGCAGCCGTTTGCATCAGATTAGGTGAAGGATCCATTGTCATCTGGAACTCTACCGTGGGTCGGATCGTCGGCGCCTTCGCTACTTCAACTATGAGGCTGTCGTATGCGCTCTTCTTGCTTGAATCTTCTGCGATCTGAAAAGAGAATGAGACTCGTTTGTATAACCGAACTGTTGACGTGACAACGTTTAATAAATCGATGAATGCCGGCTACACGCACAAAAAGCATGACTCATTGTCCCGTTACGCTCATTGTATGCTTGCGCCGCATCTATCTCTCTTCCACTCGATTGGCCTATGCGTCCGAGGATTCATTCCTTCTTTGTATCCGTACAATAGTGATAATTTAATAAAAATGATTCAATTTTATTTATAAACGTTTGCAATCATTTCATCAATGTTTTGTCACGTTAAGTAATCGTTCATAAACCGACTTTACTGACAACAGATTTTAACTTTTTTCAATTAACTTAAAACTGTATGAAACAGAAAAATACAGCTTCTGAATCTAAGTATTTGCCTCAGATTTCTGCATCTGAATTTTGCGGAAACCAAAGACACTTACGCAATGAAATGGACTTACCAGTTGGTAATGAACACTGCCTTGGTCGTTGGCGGAGGGTAGGCCGTAGAACTCTTGGTTGTTGGCATCGAATTGCAACCAGTTGTTGGATGGGATTTCAGAACGGTCGCTGAATCGTAGAGACAAGTGCAAGTTGCGGGTACCACCGTCTTCTGGGTCGAAGAATGTGTCCTGAAAATAATATTTGTCAACATTACCACTGCATTATAGATTATTAAAATGAGTAAGTTATAACACAAGTTAAATAGTAATTATTTTACAGAGAATAAGAACAAAATACTTGACATTGACAGTTTAGTTTACATGATTGATAGTACAACAAAGTATTCATTTCTGTGTCTGTTATTTGGTATTTTTTTGTAAGGGTCTTCAGGATTTGCTACGCAAAACAAGATTTTTTTGTAATTTTGATTTTGTTTGTAGTAATCATCGTTTTTATATTATTCACTTTATGTAGAATGTTCGCCAGAGTTTCCGCCTAGTAGTAATTTATAGTCGAGCCAAATCCCATACATTTTTGACATGCAGAATTAGGATAAGATTCCGATACGAGACTAAACGCGAACAATGAGTCCTGACTCCTGTAAGTCAAAATCCCGAAGGTTTTAAAATATAAAGCCTCTGAGTCTCGACTTCTGAATGAGTCCGAACTATCAATGCCGCACAATATGACAAACAAATAATAATAAATTTAATTAGATTAAGTAGATTTAAGGAGGAAAGAGAGTTTAGGAGTACAACAAGGGGTTTGACAGTAGTAAAACGTAGTCACTCACCTCAGGCACCTTGTAAACGAGAAGATGTCCCACAGTAGCCGTTAGATGGTCCACCTGGTTCCTGGTGACGGGTGGATAGGTGTCAGGAGCCTTCGTGGCCGGAGCCACCGCACACCTGCCCAGCCCGCGCCAACCCACGGCACTCACTTTCAGCTCGGGAGACATCGCTCGAGCGAGACCCGCTGATGGGGATCCGGGTTGGCTCTCCGATTCTAATATCTGAAGTGTTTTGTGATTAGATAATTTTTTTAAATACAATAAAAAAAACTAAAGTTTCGAATAAAATAAAATAATCAATGTTTCACGTATAGATTTTACATAAAAAAAAGAATTGCGTTACAATCTTTTTAGGTCTGGGCCTCAGATTTCCGAATCTGTTTCATGATAATTTGTCATTCAAGTAAGGCGAGTAGGTGCTCAGCCTTCTGTGCCTGACACACGCCGTCGACTTTTTGAGTCTAAGGCAAGCCGGTTTCCTCACGATGTTTTCCTTCACCGTTCGAGCAAATGTTAAATGAATTGAAAGTCTATTGGTGCATAGCCGGGGATCGAACCTGCGACCTCAGGGATGAGAGACGCCCGCTGAACTAGGTTAACACTGTTCCTGCTACATATTAAAGCTATCTTTATATTTCCTTAATTCTAGTATTCTATGAATTTCCAAGGAAGTAAAAGTTGACAAATTAATTAAATAATTTTAATTTTATATCTACCTTCATAAGCCGATTAATATCATCCATTGGACAAGCAGTATCCTTCGGGAGCGTGTCATTGGTCCATACAAACTCGCACATATCCCCAATGAGGGTAGCGTTCAACACTGTTAGATGATCCATATCTGTATCTCTGAAGAGGTTCACAATTCCTTCCAAAGCCCGGATTTGCCAGTCAATGGTGTTCGTATAGGGCTTCATCAACTTGAACTGCATGGTGAAGTGGTGATTGATAGTTCTAGCGCTTTTGTGCTGTTGCACTGTGATATCGAGAGGTCCCCGTGCAAGGAGACCCTCGCTATCACGCGCTTCTACTATGAAATTCCAGCGAGACACGTGAGCTTCAAGCGGTCTGAAATTAAACAACAATTCTTATACGATGCGATTAATTTTCCGTTAGTGATTTTAATCAAACGCCAAACGCCAATGTTTATCTATAATAATGGGTCGACTAGGAGAAAAGGTGACTTAAGAACATTTAAATTACAGAATAATCGAGACAAATCTGTAGGAGAACCAAAGATCACGGTGGATGTCTGGTTATATCTTAGATAAAATAACCTATAACTGTTATTTTAAATTATAATAAATAAATTAAGTAGATTCTTAGGGAAAGATTTACAGTTGAGACTTAGCCATAAGTATGCCTTCTGTATGTCATAAACGTAATTGTTTTTAAAGAACAGGGGGCAAACGGGCAGGAGGCTCATCTGATGTTAAGTGATACCCATGGACACTTTCACTGCTAGAGGGCTCGCGAGTGCGTTGCCGGCCTTTTAAGAATTGGCTCTTGAATCCTTACCCTTGTCACTGGGCATATGAACGGCAAAGTTTATAGAATATATATAAATGATCTCGGACGGGTGAGAAGAATAAGCTAAAAACGCAAAAGTATTTTTGAGAGAATAAAATGAAATGGTCAAGATTTAGTACGTAATCGTTCAATCCGTACGCGTATACGTATACGCAATGGGAATCAAATAGAATTTTAAATTATTTATTTTGAATAAATATGAGTTGATTTACAGAAAAACTATGTCTAATTTACTTACAATCCGTAAACCTCTCTCTCGCTAGGAATGAACTGAATCCATGAGTTTTGGCTAAGCGGTACATTTTCAGCCTCGTACATCGTAAAGGTCAGATTGCTGCCTTCTTCTGGGTCCGTGAACAGATCTGCAGGTATGATGTATCTGAAATATTTAAATAATCATATTAACGTTATTACGTATGTACATGGGAAACACTGAGAAACAGGTAGTATATCAAAAAGCTAGCGAGTCCAATGTGGATTCGAACCGCTAGAGAACGCCAAGATTCAGGATATTAAAGGAGTACTATGTCGAAGGACAAGCTGTAAATGAATACTAAATAAATAAATACTAGAACTAATAATAATAATAAATCTTATCTCAAGAAAAAGTTCAACAGTTATACGATTCATATTCTTTTACGAAAATGAGATGCAGCACTAATAATGAGTCTGCAATCATTATAGTTTTTCTTTTAATTATGTCAAACTTACACTGACAAATGACAAGTGTCAAAATTGACATTCATGATTATGAAGGAGGACATTTCATTAAAAAAAAAACGTTTTCAAAATTTCTCGATAAAGTACCGAACTTCACCAAAATAATCTCATATCACAACCATAGCCCCATAACAAGCCTACCTGAACGCCTTTCCAGCGGTGATTGCGAGTTTCTTCATATGATGCTTGAGCGTCGGCGGCTGGTTGATGGGCATTGCAAACGTAACTGTTTCCGTAGTGCGTCCTATTATCGTACTAGTCCTCTCCGACGATATTACTGTCTCCTGGTACATTAATTCAAATATTGATCACATCTAATTAGCGTGGATTGTTTCCTGACGTAAACATTGACTAGCACACCTTTCCAAACGATATATACACTACAAGCTTGGGCGCAAATATTCAGTATTTTGTAATAAATTATAAATTGCCTATGTGTGCCTAATAATTTGAAATAGGTCTCGTGGTTCTTATCTATTAATTATATACTGCAGTTTTAAATGTTGGTATGTATACATATATATAACTAGCTGAACCGACAAACGTTGTTTTGCCATGTATATTATTTATAAGAAACATTGTTTTAGTCAATAAAAATTACTATCTACTATAATAAAAAATAGGGGTTGATCGTAGAGGGGTGAAAATTAAGGGTCGTATGTATTTTGGTATGCTGTATCATAAAAAAAGTTTTGTCTAAATAAAAACAAAAATTTAGGGGTGGGACCACCCTTAACATTTAGGGGGATGAAAAATAGATGTTGTCCGATTCTCAGACTTACTGAATATCCATTAAAAAATTCATAAGAATCGGTCGAGCCGTTTCGGAGGAGTATGGTAACTAACATTGTGACACGAGAATTTTATATATTAGATTTTATAAATGTATAAAGTGTTACAATTATTACACTATGTGCTATACTTCAAAGATGCGTTTTGTACAGAAAGTCAACCCAATCTAAAATAGGTTACAATAAAGAAATTTTTGAATTTTGATAGACCAAAGCCAAATCATTCCCAGACCAAATAAAACAATATTTACAAACCTTGCTTTCAAATTATTTTATGACTATAGTGCGGTGTTAATCAACCAGTGTATTAATTGATGAATACTTAATCTATGTGATGTGAGCCGTAAAGTTACAAAACACAAGTTTATAAGGGCCGTTCAACGAAAGAATTATTTACCCCCCCTGTCAACAAAAGTAAGCAAAGCTCTTAAACACAAAAAAATAAATTGTCAAAAAACAATTCATTATTTGTAGGAATCTTCGAAAATCTATCTCGTTTTCAAGCATAGACAATTTGTGGGGTTCCATATGTTTAAAAAAGTTAATAATTACTGCTGACGTAATTACAATCCCACCCCCATGTCATCATAAATAAGAAAATGAAAAATCTCCTGCCTCCCTATACGGAATACTTGAACGGCCCCTTATTATCTAGTCTTAGATGCGGTTATATCTAGATATAAACTTGACTCCCAATTCATCATCATCATCATGGTTCATCGTCGACGTGCCTAAAACTATTTTAATGTAATCAGCATGAAGCTATTAAGAATTTGGAGATTTTCTACTCTTTCCGTCACATTAGGAGATGATATAACCAATCATACTTTTACGGACATCGATAATACAATTTAAAAAAACTAAACTCTTTTTATGAACTATACGAGATTTTCATCATCAACTCCTGAAATATCAAATATAAGTATTTATATATTTACGCGGTCCATTTTTGGTGAAAATGGTCAGTATTTTTTATTGAAAAAAAAAACACGTTAGCATCGATGCATGGTCATCGAACTGACATTCGGAGTCGACGATGGCAGGCAATGATAACAAACCTGTCTTGTTACTTCCTCCGTTGTACTTTCTGGGGTGGTCAAAACAGTTGTCGGAGTTGTCAGGGTCACTGTTGGCAACTGTGTTGTCGGCGCCGCAGTTGTTGTTGTAGTTGTCGACGTCGTTGAAGTTGTCGACGTTGTTGATGTTGTCGATGTCGTCGAACTTGTCGCCGGCTCGGTCTCCACTGGCATAGTTGAGGGGGTTTCGGAGGAAGGCATCGGAGGTAGTTCGTTTGATGCGCGTATTATTACCGTTTGCTGAAAGTGCCATGCGGACGCTCACACAGGTGAAATGTATTGTCGACGGTTAGACAATGCTATTTTTATATATTTGGTTTAAATATTTATATTACTTTATTTGATTCTTGACTGCAGAATAGTTTAGATGTGTTATATAATTTTATAAGCATTGTCTTCCGTAAACAGATTAGTCGATGTATATACATATTAATCTACATTGTGAAATTGTAAGGGCATCCTTCTAACTACCCCTTGTTAAAAATCCACTCCCACGCAAGAATTAGTGTTCAAACAAAACGTGACTTAGAACAGAATTAATACATACAAGTTCAGCTTCCGTCGATGTGGTTACTTCCTCTGGGACAATCAGTATAGGAGAATGATCATCGAGGTTTCTGTTCACTGGCGCTGGTTCCTTTGAGAAGTTGACACTGCTTGCCTCGGAAGCAGACTCCGAGTACGGAGTGATTTTGACCTTATGATCCTGTTGGAAAATGTTTGATTAAGATACTTCGACAAATTAATACTTCAAACAAACACTACTTACTACACCAAAAATTACTTAGCTTTTAAAGATATAAAAATCTATATACTACGATATCTAGGATTTGTCGAGGCTAAAATAATATCTAGCTAATACAAGAGAACACAAGGCATTCCTAAAAACCGTGCAGCGTTCACGAGACGAGACATGCGACCAACCTCTGCTGTATACGCGTTAGTAGCGAGTTCTTGGTAATCCTCTGTTAGCGCCCGCGTTGTGTCGGAGGGGGTAGCAGGGGTCGTATTGGGGTTTTGGGGAGTTTGAGGGATTAGAGGTGTTTGGGGTGTATAGGGCTCTGGGGTTTGCGTCTCCGGCGAGTCGAGCTCGTTCTGAAACGTGTCGGTGGTTGGCGCGAAGTCGGGCTGGCCATGGTGGTGGCGGTGTGGGTGCGGGGAAGTGGGGGGTTCCACCTGCCGCCGCGCGACGTTACGTTAGTGGCGTGACACGGGATTATCGGCCGTCACAAAAGAGAGAGAGAGTAATATTGCCAATACGCTGCGAAGCGGTTCATTAATCACGCTCAAAAATTAATATAACCTCAAAAAATATGTTTTTTTATTTTTATTTTTTCATTTTTTTATAGAAATAAGGCACTCTGATCTATCAATATTAGATCTCTCTATTCCGTGGGCCGTTGGTAATGGTATCCGTATAAGTTAAATATGAAAACCTTCTAGCGGAATCCATACGTAACACATATTGTTCACGGAGTTTTAATATATTTAATATTCACTGAGGCATTGAATACAATAGCGTGTACAGGATTTTTAAAATAATTTAAAGGCATTTGTATTAAAAATCGGTGAAAAGAAACGGAATTTTCGGTTGAATTTCATCGGACGACCCAATTTTTACACGTTCTTTATAAGAATGTCGACATAACATTTATCACGTATGCGTTTAAGTGTTGAACAATGTTTGTGGTTGTTATTGCTTTGATTAATTTCACAAAAACAGAACTTTTATTTATTATATTATATTATATTATACAAAACTCGTTCAAGTATATATTATTAATTCTTGTTTCTTTTTAAGACTTCTTCCAAGATTCTGAACAAAACCAAACTTCGTAAACGAAATTATTATCTCGTATTGATAGGCAAAAAGCTTTATGTCTATACGGAAACATTGTCAATGAAAAACAGATTTATATTTTCGTTCCTACAGGCATCGGGACCTTCCTTATATTCTTTGTATGGACTCATTATCGAGTACACTCATATTGTGTGCGAAGTGAAGTCCTGTACCTTATTCGTAATAGACTTTAATATTTACATGAACGAGTTCGTTTTTAGTATTATACATCATATAAACAAAACCACACACAAAATTCACAGAGACAGATTTATGCATGAATATGACGTGAAATGTTGCAACACAAATTATGGAACAGTCGGAACTTGAACACAATCGAATAGCATGTCTTTTTAATATTATTTATTATGCGATTATCGCCGCCACATCATTACTCTAGGTACTTGACTAACAAGAAAAATAGAACCAGAATTAGCTAATAAAATAAAAAAATATCTAGTAACCATTTTCTTCCTCAAATTTAGGAGTTATTTTCTTGTAATAATGTCTTATTGTAGATGCAATATTTTATATTTAATATTATTAAATGTAACTTGGGATTGGAATCACCTAATCTTGTTGGACTCTATGCAGCTTGGTGTCACTTTCCAGTGATTTTAACTCCTACAGAATGTTCCCCCTAGAACTAACTTCAATCAAACCCTAAATCGGGCTAAATATCGATAAAACCCCTAAAGTTTTTGTTTTCTTTGGCATGGGAGTTAATTTCAAATATACATCTAATAAATTCAAGTAGTATAAAATAGTACAATATTTCAATCTTGGAGTTTTATTAGTATTTGATTTTTCAGTTACAGCCACGCTTCGTTTATATTTGGTTGAGATTGTTGGTCGTGTTCTAGGCTTAATATAAATTGTATAGAATGGTGCTTTTTTTAATTGCGGGGAAATTCCCTTAGTTGGCATCACTGTCATCAAGTTTTTCATTGTGTTGGTAGGTTTAGTTGTCTTTATTAATATTAAGATTTAATTTATTTGTTTTGTATTGAAAATTAGGGTTTCGCACTCTTGCACTTCTCCACAAATGTTTTTTACTGTTTTCTTTAATTAGTGTGCCTGAAAGAGATCGCTTGCTAGCGATGAGGCCGCACCATTTTTTTAAATAAGTTTTATTGTTAATAGATATTATTATTTAATTTGACCCAACATATTAATTTATGTTCTAAAGAAAATATTAAACATAAAAGACGCATTGTGTTCAAGTTCAATTGATAACGTAAAATAAAAAGCAATGATTGGGTACATGAAGTGATACGGGCATATGTATCATGACTATTCATTCCATGCTATGGTCTAAACACATTAAGTGTGCATATGCATTCCATTTTAGAGATCGCATAGCGTTTGATTGTCAGAAATGAAAAATTTTCGTTACGACTTAAAAACACCGCGGGAGGCTATGGAGTCTTAAGTTCCGATTGGCCTAAAATATGTATACTGAATTTATTTTCAAAACAATCTCGTAGGACTAAATTTATAAGATAATACTAATTTAATAGACAAGCGATCCTTTAGCTCTATTTAAAATTTGGAATGTCAATTTATGACAATGACAGCTGTCATCGAGCTCTCGACACGAGCTCTATAAACGTGTTCTCGTATACGTATTACATGACTATGGACGCCTTGGTTTTTTAAACATAAATATTTTGTAAAAATTAAAATTAGAATTCCTAGGCTAAAGAAAAGCGGTAGATTTTTGCTCAATTCTCAGGCATACAAACTGTATGTGACTAATTTAAAAACGGGAACTTCTTTTCCCTAGAATTATATTAAATTTCTTTAAATAGTTTTGAAGCTTTTAATTCGTATAAAAGAATCTCGATGTATGAATGTGCTATTTATGTGTGAAGCGAAATGTGCCAGCTAATGTGAATGATATTCGACATGAATTTTTGATTCATAATTCACGACTTCAAGTACGTAATAAAATCTAATAGTTATTATTCATAACTCTAAAACCTCAAACTTTATATTATTAATTTTGTGGGTATGATTTTTTAAAATGAGGGTACACGTTAAATTTGTTAAATATTAAGTATAAAATTCTAGTACTAACCAGATCAGGGACTGCTCCAATATCAATTTGTGAATCGAAGTCATCGTCATCATCATCATAACCGCTGTAGTCCGCGGGGTCTTCTTCGCCATCATAATTGTCGTAATCACCTGAACCATCCATTGGATCCGACTGAAAGTACGATATATAGTATGGGATAATGTTCATATGTTGTTGAGTATCTCTTCTCTATATGTATAGAAATGTTCTTATTCGTTCACAAAAACATAAATATTTTTAAGTCAATGGGAATAGACATCTGTCGATGTAGACATGTGGAGAAATTGCCTGTGCCAAAAATTTATCTGGAATTGTATAGGAAAAAAATACCTTTTGTGTGGCAATCAAGGTTTATAATAATTTACCAAAAACATTAAAAGAGCTTGCTATTAGAGTTTTTAAAAATCGACTTAATGTACTTTTGGAAAAAGGTCATTATTCTATCAATCATTATTTGTATTTGTTGGTTTTTGTGTTGTTGTTAATATATTTTAATAATGTGATATTTTATCACTACAAATAATTTAAGAATTGACTATAATGATAGGATTCATAATGTATCTAACTCTAACTTCTATGTAATACTCCTTTTAAGACAAATTTGCAAGCCATTATGTTTGTGCGAACTTTAGATTGTACCACCATAACATGTATGTACCATATTCTTAAAAATAAATTATTATTATTTATATAAATCTTATTGGACTAATAATTCATAATTTCGTCATTGATTTTGATCAATTTCTTCTATTTGTATTTGTACAAGAACTCCAAATCAATTAAAATATTTATTTAGTACAAATGTAGATTATATGATTATATGATCATTTTGTTCGGGTAAGTCGTCACTGATAGACAGATAAAATTGTTAAAAGTGATAAACTATTTCTATTTCTAGTTACACGATGGTCAATCCCCTGGGAGCAAACTGTTTAAAATAAAAACTTACTGACATACAATATTATCAATGAAAATCAAAGAGTTTTATCACTTGAAATTACCTGTCTCTTAAGCCTGGAGTTAGGTTTAACAGCAAGCAGCCTCCAGCCCAAAACTGGAAGCTGAAGTAACTGGTGAAGAGTGCCATCTCTTGACTGCTCCCGTAAACCCGCTACCAGCACCTTGTGTCTACTCCATAGCTTTTCTCCGCAACCGACCTAAAATGGCATGTTCTTAATTTACTGGCGCAAAAACCCTTTATCAGGAACCATATAACGAATCTTATTTTTTTTTTATCAATATTTTCTTTTTTTAATCAAAGCCTGAAGGTGGTTGTGAATTCTCTCTATCAATAGACTATCACTTACTTTACTCAATATAAAGTCAGTCAATCAAAAATATTTACATTTAAATACCTTTAGATCTGGGCTACAAGTTTATGTATCTATTTCGTATTCATATCTTTTTTCTAATAGACAAGTATCAGCTTTCTGTGCCTGACTTACGCCGTCAACTTTTTGAGTTTAAGGCATTTGTTTCTTCACTATGTTTTCCTTCACCGGACAAGCGAGTGTTAAATGCGCTCGAAGATAGAAAGGCCATTAGTGCAGTCCCTAAGTTTGTACGTAGTCCCAAACTAAGGGATGTGAGTCATAGGCTAAAGCCACTAGGCTAACTACCGAAACAATTATTATTAATAGAAAGCATGGTAATGATGGCCTTTAAAACGAGACCACATTATCATTTAACCATATCGTTTAACCACAACTGAGCGTTTTTTAAGGAAGTTTTTGCCGCGAACCACCACTATGTGGAACCAGCTGCCCACTGAAGTATTTCCGAACCAATTCGACTTAAGGTCCTTCAAGAAAAGAGCGTACCAATTCTTGAAAGGCCGGCAACGCACTTGCGAGCCTTCTGGCAATGTGAGTGTCCATGGGCAGCGGTATCACTTAACATCAGATGAGCCTCCTATTACATAAAAAAATTGTGCGTTGTAACACAAATTATAAATACTATTCACACAGTTCAAACTCTTAATTACAATCCGATTCTAGTTTATTGAACCAATAATTAAAATATGTTTTCTGTATTGAAAAATATTATATCGGCACAAATCAACTTCAACTTTTATAAAACAATTTCTGCCTTTTGAATTCTCAGTAAACGTTAAGATAATGATATGATATGATATGATAATACATTTAAATAAATGGCAGTGGTCGCTTCGCTGTGTCTTCGTTTCGTTGTTCCCGGGCCGCTCAATATGACCGCGTGACCTTGTGTATGCTCCACTTTGTAGGGCTCCATCCAGAACTCATCCTGGAATTAATATAACATTTCTTAGTAAAATAAAATCGATTGAAAATTCTAAAAGTATTATTTTATTGATCACGAAAAGGCTATACATACAATCACTTTTAAATCTAAACTGAAAGTGGCCGATATTTTCGGGGCTGGATTTTTTCAGATTACTAGCTTTTTCCTGCGGTTTCATCCAGCTTAATTCAGACGTAGTGTGTCCTTACATAGCCTGAAGCCTCCTCAATAAAGGGACACTTTAAAAAAAAAATACGAACCAGCAAACAATCTCTTCAGTTTAATAATAATATACATTTAATATATAAAATTCTCGTGTCACAATGTTCGTTCCTATACACCTCCGAAACGGCTCGACCGATTCTTATTAATTTTTTTTATTATGTGAAATAAAAAAACATACAAGCCTTAATTTTCCCCCTCTACGATTAACCACTATTTTTTATTATAGTAGATAGTTATTTTTATTGAACTAAAAAATGTTTCCTACAAATAATATACATGGCAAAACAACGTTTGCCGGGTCAGCTAGTTTAATATAAATACTACTGTAATTTCGGAGATTTTATCTTCGCTAGAAATTTTAAAAGCGAAATATGGGATTCGATAACATAAGCCCTTGGGCGAGCTTTTTAAGCTAAAATCAATACAGCTGCAAGAAAAACTGGACAATGCTTTGTTGTAAGCTTTTTTTATGTAACACGAGGCAAACGGGCAGGAGGATCATCTGATGTTAAGTGTACCGCCCATGGACACTCACACTGCCAGAAGGCTCTCGCAAGTGCGTTTCCGGCCTTTAAATAATTAGTACGCTCTTTCTTGAAGGACCCAAAGTCAATAATTTCTATTCAAATACAACGTAGCTAATAAAAAGTAACGTATTCAATAAGTAATAAATTATCATGATCATAATGTTCACGTCAATGACAATCGAACGATAAAATTGCATCGTTAGATCGGTCATTGAACCGCTTCTGAGTTAATTTTTTAACCATTGCGCATACATAAGCACGCAAACACGCATATAAATTGGTTATATTAGTGTCACTGTCATTCTCTTTAAGGGTGATAGAGATGACTAATCTTTTAATATCATTATTACAATCACGGAATGTTCGCTTCCCTTGGAACTCAATGCTTAATAAAATTACGAAGCGTCGCTCCAGACAAATTGTATTAAATCGCAGCCATACATTACATTAGCGGAAACTGGTACAGATTAAATCGTTGTTTACTTACACCGGAAATATATATTTCAAAATGGAACGAATTGTTATATAGTCTTAGGTGATAGAAGACACCTCAAAATATTATGTGAAGAAGTAATGCCACCAAAAACATAACTTGTAAACATATCTAAGTCTGACAACGCAGTACTTCTTTCTTCTTCGTTCTTACCGTAAAAAGTTGTGAGGTCCATGTAATATCAAGTCGGTCAATTTATCCAGTTCCCACTTAAGGGACCTTTTGTCTTTATTTAATACGTAATTAGCTAACCTAACAACTGATATCAATATTTTATACTAAACAGTATCCATTACTAATCCATTAAGGCCTTTATTCACTTTGATTAGTGATTAGTGCAGGTGTGTAGTGCAAGTAGTGTCCAATTCTTCTTTAGTGGCTCTGTCAAGTAAATTCAGTAGTCTGTAGTAGCTGTCCATCAGCAAGTATGGATGAACATCGAGAAACGCGTTTGCAATTAGAAGAAGTACTGAAAGAAGTATTAAACGCAGTGCTAGAGTAGAGTTTTGGAAGCTGAACTTGCATGACCAAGAAAAGTATGGGTTCGAAAATGGATTCATAGAAGACCCATTCATAGCGCAAGCTACCAACTCTATAAGAAATTGGCTGCTGAAGATACGACGGAATATTATTTTGCTCTCAGGTTGACCGAAGAGTCCTGCTGCCTGTCCAGACGTGTTTTGGCAGGCTGCGAGTGAGGGTGAAGGGAGGGCACACGCGACGTCACTACTCGCAGTTCACTCGCAAAAAAATAGAACACGCTTCTAATCACTTTACTACGCAGCCAACTAATCACCTGCACTAATCAGTCGCTGTCCACACTTGTTTTCTCCTAATCACTAATCAAAGTGAATACAGGTTTAACACATTAAGATTAGAATTTTTTTAATCCAATACGACAAACTAAGATGCGGACAATTTCATGAGTGTAGATAACCAAGTTTCGTATAAGAAAAGTTATGAGGCCGGATAGCTCGTAAGTATGTGTGTAACTCTCAGCGGAACTAATTAAAAATGCTTGAAGCGTATCGGTTTGATGATCTATCAATAAGCCCTTTGAATATTCATCTTATGAGTAGCTCGGCTCGTTATATATAACAAGTTCGTTGCTTTCCTATTATACCGATACAAACATTATATTCACGTTAGTTAAACCTTTCGTAATTTCTACGAACCATACATATTTTATAGATAATAATAATCATTGCTTTTAGGAATATTGAAACGTAAGAGATGTAAAGTCAAAACGTCAAAGTAATTTTTGTTTAATACATGTGTCATTACAAATTTAACATTAAAATTAAACTTTCTCGACTCTTTTGTCCAACAAACACACAAGTAAATGTATGCAACATTTTGACCTTTTTGACTAGCGCAGTCGCAGTGAATTTCTCCATATCAAAACAAGATTATCGACCAGTTTCTAAACATCGTATAAAAAAATACATACCCCGTCAAGCGCCATGAAGCTAGCTAATTCCATGAGCGCTCGTATCCTATGACGCGGCAATATCTTGTGGAATGCTGTATCTATGAGTATAACTAGGACCAGTCTGCTTTCGTTGTTAATACACGTCCCATATCGAGACTGCGGCTTTTCTTCGGATTTTTTCACCTATAAGATAATTAAGTTCATTAGTTCGTTCGTTGTCTTTCTATTTCTAAAGCTTAGGTTTCCTAGAAAAGCGGTGCCGCTAACCAACGGCCGTCATTGTACGGTTGTTAATAACGGCCGTCTTTACTTTTAAACATAATGCAAAAAAAAACATCATTTTCGGTCGTCCAACTCACGTTTCCACTCATGGTATTAATTAAATATGGGCACCGCTATAAATATTTTATAGATAATAATCATTGCTTTTAGGAATATTGAAACGTAATAGATGTAAAGTCAAAACGTCCAAGTAATTTTTGTTTAATACATGTGTCATTACTGAGACATCATGGAAAAGCGGTGCCGCTAACCAACGGCCGTCATTGTACGGTTGTTAATAACGGCCGTCTTTACTTTTAAACATAATGCAAAAAAAACATCATTTTCGGTCGTCCAACTCACGTTTCCACTCATGGTATTAATTAAATATGGGCACCGCTACACGCGAAAAACGTTGAACTAATGTTTATCACCGCTATGACGGCCGTCATGCAAATGACAGCACCACTATTTGACGTTACGGTGACACTCAACGTTCTCTAGAAAACCTAATCCGATGTTATTTATAGAAAACGTATGGGTGACGTCACCCAATCTTACATTACGGCCGTTGGATAACGGCACCGCTTTTCTAGGAAACCTAAGCTTAAGGCAATTAAACATTGCGGCTTCACTGTCAATTTGATCAACCTCAGAAAAGCAGACACTTGGCTTCGATTGTCCATGGGCAGTGGTAAAACTTCAGGCAGGAGCATGTTTGCTCCGTATTGAATATTTTTTTTTGTGTAAAATAAAATTTTGCCACAAAGTACTAAAACCTCGGAAAATATGAATTGTATTAGCCCTACAATAATTAACAGTTATATTAATGAAAAAATATAAAAGTGGTTATCGTATAGATAGTAGACACACATGAAATTGCTTTAGCTAAGCATTGGAAAATCAAGAGAAAAACATATTTAGGTCTATTTGCTTGTGGCTATATGTTATATCGATGTAAATTGACTAAAGTGGTTGTTTGGAAGAGATCGCTCGAAAGCGATTTGACCGCCAGTTGCCCTCCTTTTTATTTATTTATTTTAATGGTGCAGTATTTCTGTATTACTACAATGAAATGTAAATAAATAAATAAATGTAGTTTCAATAACTTTTAGAAAAACGTACGCACTTCTCAATTTGCTACTATTTCCGTTATTTCCCTCCTACATGGAGGGAAATAACTATAATTTTTTGTATCTATCATTGAACACAATAAATAGAAAAGAGGAGTACAATTTAGAAAGGCAGTCCACATTAAGGAAACAGCTGGAGGCACAGTGCAGACCAAAATGGCAGGATTTGCAGGAGACCATTGCTAAAAACACACGTACCATACCAGAGAATAAATGTGTTACTTATATAATAGAAACATAAACGTATTATAGTATTTCAGTGTTATAGTACTTACCTCAACGCTAAACGTATCCATGGCAGTCAAGCCATGTGTGCGCCCATGAGCAGTTACCCTAAAGTTGTGTGAGCCTATGTCCTGCCGCTGCGGGACCCCGCTGATCAAACCGTGTTTGGTGTCCACGGCCAGCCAGCTGGGCAGGCGGCGGCCATCTTCACTTCGGACCTTTATTTAAAGTAATTCCAATAGTTTAATATAATAAACTGCAACCTTCTATACAAACTTAGGTGTGTAAGAATAGAAGTTAATGACCCGTGACCCAGAGTAAAACTATTGAATTGAGGTATTTTAACAATACTTAAAACTCGTCGTCTAACTCTCTTAATAATAATATTATAATGCTTATACGGTCAAGAGTACAATTAACACTATAGTTCTTAAATACGTTATATCCGGTATGATTAACCCAAAAACTCGTGAGGCTGATAGTTACATAGACATAATTGTAGGCACAGCGATTTGCTACAAAATGTGTTTTTACAAATTTTATGTACGATGGATAGTTTAGGAGATATAGCCAAAAAAAGTGTTTATTGCACCCCTTTTTCCAAGATGGCGGTCGGGGGACAAGCACGCCAACCCCACAAACTTGAGGTTAAGCTTGTATTGACCCCCCCTACATCTCCCATAAATAAAATTGCGTCCTCTAAATGTTCAGTTTGGCCCTCAAATTGTAACATTTCAATGGACTATAAATAAGAACAACCCCAAAAAGGAAGCGCCACTGGAACCATATTTCAAATATAGAACACACTTGCACTCTAAAGCACCAAATGTATTCAAAATTCGAATCTGTTCATGCTTGAATTTCGGCTTTGAAATCGAAGAGAAGTAGGTCAACTGCGCATGATTGATTACCGTCACGCGGTGGAGATGTCTTAGGAAATACCTGACACCAAACAAAGAAGTGTCATTTATAAAATTCAGTATTTCTTATTAAATCAAATAATTGTTATTCGTGGTAGTAAATACAAATATACGAATAGCCATTTTATCGAAAAAAAAAACATGATTTTTTAGTTAATGGTGTAATATAGATTATTTAGTTCTTATAAATGTGCGTACTTAACAAGAATGTAGATAACATAGTTGTAGTGAGATTTAAGCTTAATCATACCATCAAATAGTTATCTGTAGACACTGTAGTCTGTGACGCGATGATTCTAAAACAGTCCACAGTCCTACCCGAGAAAATTCGAATATCGAACTCTTTACGAAATCAAAACACTTTATGTTATTGGTCCTTTTTGAGAAAAATAAACAGATACCGTACCTTATATGCTAAAACTTCTCCGGAAAACGCTTCTTTAGGGATTTCCATGCGGAACAAATGTCCGACATAGGCCGATGTATCAGGAACACCCCATAATCTTCGTAGGCCATTTTTTGCTATCTCTGAATGGTTTGCTGTCAGTTCAACCTAAACGTAAAAGAAATTGGCTAATGCTGACAAATGTAAAGGCTTTCATGAATTTTCAGAGGAAATTTATTTCATAACTGATAGTATGTCTAATGCAAGAACTCATCAGTACCAATCCAGTGGATGTTATGAAAAATATATAGGATGTAGATATTTTCGAATTTTAATAAGAATTAGTAAAAAACGTCAATTTTCTTATAAAAACTCAAATAAATTATAACTCTTCAGGGATTGAGCTTAGAGACCCCCCGTAGAACAATTTTTTGCAGCTGATGACCTCATCTATCCCCTTTTTGCGTTTGATCCACGACTTTTTGACCACCCTGTATATATATTGGGCTTAGTAAGCTTATGAAAATATATATTCTTACAGATCCCTAGTCTATGATTTGTAGATAACAGTTTACCCTTAACAAATAAAATATAATTTTAGCAGTAACATTGTCTATACCATGCCTATCATACCTACAAATTTGTGTACAATTTTTCTGTCCCTTAGGACGACGAGTTCCCTATGGATAGGATTATTACGTCACTAATTTACTCTAACCATTGTTTGATTAGATTAATCTTTAAAATATATTTTTTTTTTAATATTTACACTGCATAAATATTAGGATAACAAGAAATCACATTAAAATTGTAACTTTTACTTATACTTTTCTTTTATTGTTGTCACAAAATTTTAAATTCATTAAAAAAACACATTAATTATATTGGCACACTAAACAAAACCAGACGTTTTAAGGTATCAAGTAGTGCCTTTAATGTAAACTTAATATGTACACTTTTTTCAGTAGCCCTCTTCAATTAAATTTTATTACCAAATTTTTTCTTATGACAATCATTCACTATCCTTGTGAGTAGCCTCGGGACTAGGGAGGCTTTGAGGCTACTATGAGAAAAGAGAACCGACATAGTATTTGAGGTCGCTGCTAAATTACTGTTTTTGTTATTTAATTATTGGTAATAAGTAGTAAAGGTATTACTTAATTACTAAATTAATACGGTTGAGGTGTGTGTTGGAGTGATAGTGAGGGTATGTGGGGGTTATTTTAACAACACGACGGTATAGTTCAACAATCATTCTTGATACTTACAAGCCGTCGGAAATATCTGCGAACCTCGCTGGAATGCGCTTCCCCTGGCGCCCCCGCACCCCGCCCCGTTTTCGCCTATCCAGTACCGTTGCCAACGCAATCGCCGACGCCGCACGTGTATTATTCTTGCTTTCGTAATCGCATTTTAGTGTTTATTGTTTCTCTGTTTGGTGAAATATTACATAAACTACCTATTTAGTGCTGTATGTAAGATGGGTAGGTACGAGTATCAATAAAAATAAGTACACAAATAAAATATTTTTTATTTTTACATCTTCAATTTTTTTGCTATCTCTCCAGTTTGTATGACGTCATTAAGCCAGGTTCGCAGATATTTCCGACGACTTGTAATATGAAAAACTTAAAAATTCGAAAATAATTTACTCGTAGCAAATAAGAATTATATTAGGTCGAACAACTGCCGTTTAGTTACCTGAAACTCTTCGTTGTTATCAAAGGCGAAGTCGTCATCATGTCGCGTGAGCGCTAGCGGGCAAATGAGCAGAAGCGCGCAAGCCACGTACCTCGACGTGCCCATCTCGACCGCTGAGAAGCGCTTTCCAACTCTCTCTCATAAACTCATTGCGATCCACTAACTGAAAAAGAAAATTATATCTTTAAATACAGGAAACAAAAGAAAATACAGTTTATTATTACAATTGACTAACAGGTTATGTGAATAATGGGAACCATAATCGAACATGTATATTTAACCAATCCATAGATAATAAACACATTGGATATTCACAGACTATACAATAATTTGGGCATTTTACTTGTATCACAGCGCGTCGCGGGTTGACGGAGGTGTAAAATTTGGCAGTCGTTTGGTATTTATTGGTATTGGTGAAATTATTAATTGTATTATTACACAATACTATGTGCGTTCTTTCGCTGCCTATGCTGGATTTAGAGAGGCGGGTCGCGTCACATATTTCAAATAGTCAATATTTTAAGTTGAAGATTTGTAATCATGTATTAAACTTGCTACCGACTCTGGCTAAGCTAGTTGCTATGTGCTTCCTTGAGGTGTATCATTATTTATTTATTTTCCTCTTTCCTATTTTTACAGTAATCTAATTACTTATAAATCAACTAATGCAGTAGAAAACTAAACTAAAATCATAATATAAACATAACAAGTTAAAAATTAAAAACCAACTAATTATAAATAATGCAATTCTTGTGAATTCAGCCAGTGTGCAACTAAATATTATATCTGTCTCACAAGGTGTTTAGGGTGCGCAAGACACGCGTAAATGGTGCTTCTCTAAGTAAATTCGTACGCGCCCGAGTCACGACCAGCAATTGCCACCGCTTACCACGCCGAGTGTGGTTATTTGGCACACGCAGTCCCAGTCTCTCCAACATTTCCGCATTATATATTTTACCTCTAAGGACCTTAAAATAATACTTATACTACAGTGAAATTATATATTCCGATATAATTAAGTTGTAAATTGTAATTTGACTCGTATGCCATAAAATATCCAATCCAGCATACATTGTTCTCTAGCACTTTCGATAACGCTAGAGCATTTTAGATGCCTTACGTCAACTAATCAAATCGATAAAACGATTCATAATTTCCTACAGTTTTAAAAATAACATATTACTCATTGTAGCTATTTAATAATTATATTTAAACAGAGCAACAAAAACCTATAAAAAGATGAAACTGTTTCAAGGTCGTATTGAGACATTCCCTTGTAAAACAAACAAGGGATCCTTTGAATATTGCTTACAAATGACTAATAAATACAGAGTGGGGTGGAGTTGCGAACGGAAATGACTGATACTGTTACTAAAGGCGCGTGCTGCCGCATAATTAAACAAAAATAGATGCTTTTCAATGGCCTCCTTCCTTTAACTAAGTATCGGAATTAGAATCTTGGTACTATAAGACTTGGTTGTACCTGGAACAGTGTAAGCTCAGGCCACTATGGCCTAGTAGTTTCTTTAGTAACCTAATTTATATATTTTGCCTATTCATAAAAATTACTGAATGCACCGTTAACTTAGTTGTTATTTAAAACATGAACACAATTCAAAAGAGACGTGTTTCATGAAGTGAAATAAGAAAAGGATAAGAATCTGTATATATTTCTGTTGCTAGTGACAGCAACTCAAAACTGAATTGGACGTTTTTTGTTTCATTTTATTTTAGCTCTCAAACATCACACAAGGAGGACAATCAGATACTTACGAAAATGTGTTATACAAAGGATATAGGTACTCGTACATGTGAGAAAATAACATGACCAGATTCATGCAACTTCCTCACAATCGAGTAGCCCGCCCTATATAGCAGCACAAAACTCACTAGTGGACTCTTTGTGTTGAAGAAGTCGCATAGTTACAGTGATTTTGTATGTATTTTTGTATTGCTTTAATCAATTCTTTATTTCACTTTATATGTATAGCGAACGCCAACATTATATGACATAAAATATTAACTAATAAACCGACAGAAGAAGAAAACTTATTTACGCTTGAATTTCAAAAAATCATTTGTACCTAGTTCGTTTTTCTATCCATTTAAATACAAACATAAAGGATTTTTTTGACTGAAGAACTTGGTTAGGTAACGTAAATGTTCAGTTTTCAATTCCAAGTAACACTAGACTCCAAGTAATGCATGACCTGAATAAAAACGAGATCCTGAAGATTGAAGTCGGTCGAGAATAAAAATTGCAACTACAAAACGTCTGTTGCTTTAATAATAAATATTCTTATTACAGTGTACCTACACAAGTTCCTTTTCTAGATTTTTCTTAAGCTGTTTATTTTTTTAATAAGAATTTTAAAGGCAATGATCTCTGACAAAAGTTACTTGAAAATTAGCGTGAAAACGTTTTGCAAGAGTCATTGCTAGCCTATTATCAATCATTTATTTATTATACTGGGCTGCGCAAAAGTACTGACACTAAAGAAAATTTGTTTATTTTTTTTATACGACATTTCCTGTCATTCTGTTGTTGAAAATTGTGTAGTAAACAAATGTAAAATACACTGAAAATAAACATGTGACCGTTTTACTCCCCAAGAACGTGGAATAATCGTGTCAATGTTCTTACGGAATAATTCATCAGTTTTTTATTTTACAGGTGTAGGTCCAGCCTTCTGCGCTACAGACACGTAAATTTTAACCAGTGACGCTACAATTCTTGGTATAGGCCTCAGATTTCTGTATTAGTTTCGTGATACCCCTTTTCAATAGGTCTGATTGCCTGATTTTGTGTGTAAGACAGGGCGATTTCCTCACGATAATTTCTCTTACCGCACGAAAAAGTATTATTGCTCTAATATAGCACACATAACCGCAGGATTTGTGACGGGAAAATCTAACCAATAAGCTTACCTACAATTATATTACTACTAGTATTAGTAATTAATTAATATTTATACGAATGAGGCATTTAAGGCATAGTAATTACATCAGCCTGACGTCGTAATTGCTTTACAACGTAATATAAAAGAAAATATTGAATATATTTTCTATATACGAAAATTACTTAATTAAAGTAATTTTCGTAGTTCTTTCAGGTTTTTACAATAATTATAAAAAGCAGTGGCGCTACGACCTCTTTAGGTCTGGGCCTCAGATTTATGAACCTGTTTCACGAACATTTTTCAATCTAATAGACAAGTAGGTGATCAGCCTCCTGTGCCTGACACACGCCGTCGACATGTTTCACGATTTTCTAACGGTTTTCCTATAACGTTTGAGCCAACGATAATTTTCACATAGAAAGAAAGTCCATTGGTGCACAGCCGGGGATCGAACCTACGACCTCAGGGATGAGAGTCGCACTTGAAGCCACTGGGCCAACACTTGCCTCTTCAATAATTAGTCTACGTAATACGTTTGAGCTTTTACAGTTGTAAACCTTCAGAACATAATATCGTTTCGCAGGTTAAATTTCTCTGTTACTAAGCTTTGTAAGTAGAGAATATACTGTCGTTAATACAACACGTAACAGACTCCGTAAATACGTATAATCTGTGGCATAAGCCTGAGCTTAATACCAACTTGTGTGTTCAACAGATGTTTAATATCGCCGTTATTGGTTGGATGAAAACACTTCAATTACTCAAGTTACATTGAATTAAACACAAAATCTTTAGCAATACTATTCATAAAAATCTATCTATACAGTTAGCTAAACTATTTTGTTCAGGACGTAAAAAAATTTATAATTTTTATGAAAATTTCCACTTTCTATAGAATAATAATTACTGCTTATTTATTCCGTGAAACATTTATATATCTTTACAAAATACGCACACTTGAATTTTAGACAGAATTAATTTTATTTTTTAAGGACCTTATAGGTCTCTTCCAACTGGATCTCTGTCTATCTCCAACTATCTCTCCCTTGAGTATTTTTCTCCCTATATTTCTATTTATTCAACTAAAATACTATTATATAAATTTTTCTCCGGATTTAAACGCAAATTCCACTCGAAGATTTCTTTACAGCAGCCATTGCCATCGTAAATTTTGGTTCAAGTTAATAGTAACAAAATTATAAATTCTTTATTTATTCTTTTCCCTTTTACGCAACAAAGTAAACTATAATAACATTAAAAACAAACATTTTGAACAACTTACATATTTAAAATAATCAATACATAATTTTTTTTTATTAGTTTAGTACTTAAACGTGAATCGTAACATCATTCAATCAATGTATGTATATGTGTTATTAATCCCAGTTAAAGTTAAACTGTTAGTTTCTCATGACGGAGTGAAGTGTATGCGCATGTAATGTGCCTACTTAAAATGTCTCACGCACAATTATTCATTGTCACACGCAGAAGAATCAATTAATTCTAAAAACGACAAATAATTAATCATAATGTTCGAAATTTAAAAATAATAAACAGCTGTATTAACAAATATTTTCAAGAGGTAATTAGCTAAAAAGGTATTTTAAGTTAATTAACCCATTTGCCATAATAAACACTCTATTAACTAAATTACTAATTACTAGACATTTTTAATATAAAATCGAAAATCACACTATTAAATTTCATCACTTCCTTCTACAGATATTATTATTAATAATCATCCTTTTCTTCGATCATTTATGAAATAGACAAGTGATCAGCCTTCAGTGCCTAACACATCGTAGACTAAGAATGTTTTCTCACAATTTGCCTGCACAGTAGCAGCAAGTAAATACGAAAAATCTATTGGTGCACAGCCGTGTTCGAACGCACGACCTCAGGTATTAGCTTAAGCCATTAGGCCAACACTGCTTTTATTATTAACCCCGCAGGCTTTATAAATGGATGTAATTAATCTAGCGACAATATTCGTTATTGCTCAGTGCGAATATCGACCCATTTCTTTATTAATACACTAATATGTACGCCTTATTGCTTGTAACAATAAGTGTTAGCTTCTATCTAAAGGTTCACAGCTTACGTAAAAAGTGACGAAACGGGGGTAAATATAGTTCCGTGAATGCCTCTAAGACTCTATGAGGGTTACAACAATAGATTTCTTCCCTTCGCGAAATCACAAAGTTA